TATTGTGTTATCCCTTTTATTAATTGGAAAGTGTCAATAATAATTCTCACTTTAGTATTTATTTATATATTAAATTTATTTGTATTATATAAACGGTTCCTTATATTTTACACACATCCAGATCATAAAATTCTAGATCTAACTCATAAAAATTCTATATCTAGATCATAAAAATCTAGATCATAAAATGTTTGATCACCCAACTATAAAAATTAGTTTATGAAATTAAAAATAATTTAAAGTAAATTAAAAAAAAGATAGAAATAATTTTTTTTTCAAGTAAATTAGATGAACTCATTCGGTGTCTTTTAAAAATATTTAATATTATGCATATTATTTAATATTATTTAATATTATTTAATATTAAATTTAATATTAAATTTAATATAATTTAATATTACTTAATATTAAACATATTCAATATTACGTACATTATGATCCTGTTAAATCTCTGACAATTTATTTTCATTCAAGTCAATTGCTATTAAAAATAGATTTCTTTGTAATAAAAAAATATGTAAATAAAACTCCAAACATTTTTCTTATCACGTAATGAAATATTAAAAGATGAAGCTGGCGTTCTCAAGGTTGCCAGATTAATTACGTGCATCGAAGAATAACAGTTCGATCGAAGGTCGCGATGATGTAAGGTAAGACCGGACAGTCGCATAATCGCGATGGATCGATCATGCGAAGTTGTTATTGAGATCAGAGAATAGTTTCCTTCTCGTCGAGGAAGTTGGCGAAGAAATGACCATTCTTCGAATGTAAATGAAAGTAGTGTGCGAAACTGAGAATCTCCCCTTTCAACCGGAAACATTCTGTCCCATGCGTTTCATAAGTTTTCCTCTTATCATCGTGTTAATTAGTTACTTCGATAATCTCGATGTTCGAATGTTCCGCCTGCATAGTTGCATATCGGTACTTGTAGTTGCTATAAATTAAGTTTGCCGATAAATTGTTCAGATAATCAGAGTTACAGGAATGCGATATGCCTTCTTGCAGTCTCGCTGTTCCTATAATTTTTGTACGTGAAAGTCATGCGTAAGCGTGAAAATATGATAGAATAAGATTGCATGAGGTATAGAAAATATTTTACATTTAAATTTAAAATAGAAAGAAGGAAAAGAGAGAGGAGGAGAGATTTGATAAAATCATTTAATGCATAACAAATATTAATCAATAATAAAAGCTGTATTTATAAATTCCTATGTAAATTATTTCAATATTATTAAAATTTCCCTTAATTACAATTAAAGAGATTTCAGAAATTTTTAACAATTTAATCTATATTATTATGTTTATCAAATTAATTAAAAGTTAATTAAAAGTAACAAGAGGAAGGAGCTGTAGAAAAGTTGTATCATAAATGGCCGCTAATGATTTTAACAAAATTGAAATTCTTTAAACTATCTTCTTCAAATTCTTCAAATTATTGATATACTGGTTTATAATTTTTAATAATGTATAAACAAATATATCGCTCTAAAAAGCGAAAAGTTATTGCACCTGTCTCGTGCCATTTGCCAATTACTTGGAGATAAATAAAATTGAAAGGTTTAAAATAAAAAATAAATGAAATTAGAGATTTTAAGTAGGTATATTTGCAGTGTGAAACGATCGTAATTTTCAGTAGCGTAAATCTAGAGTCGCAAATTCCACGCACTACTATTACTATTACGCGATAGTTTCACACACGCTTGAGATCAATGCGCTTCTGCTCTCGAGTCGAGCAGGAGACGATATCGTGCTGTTCCAGAGTGGTGATTCCGGTCAGCCGGAATAGCGGTACACGCTCGGCCGTCTTCGTTTTCGAATTATTATTATGTTGCTGCTTTCCGCGAGGCGCACAGTAGCACGCTTTGTCGCGAAAGCGGAAGAAACCTGTGCGCGCATCGTGCATGAAGTCATTTTTTTGCCACTACCTTTCTTTCTGGTGCTTTTCTAAGCTTTGACGTTCCATATTTCGCAAGTGACGCGGAGAACGAATTCCGTTTTCCAAATTAAAAGCGATCCCAGCAAACGCCAAATAACAGTTATAATATAACTGTTACATAACATGCAACAGTTATATTGTTAAGCGGGAAAATTTATAAATGTTACTTGATGTTTGCTGAGATATATATATTTTTTTAATTTTTTTTAAATTTCGCGAGAATTTGTCGAGCGTCAGTTGTTCAATCAACGATTCATTAAAGGGATTTGTTTCTTTTTTTTTTTATATCGAGTAGAAACGATCTCTGATCTTCGCTCGAAGAGTTGAACGATTTGCATCACGCGGTCCATCGAGGGAGATCCGCAAGAGAGTGAACACTTATGAGCATCGCTCCGTCGAGGAGCGCGGCCAGTGCGGCTGCAGCTGCATCGGATAGTTGATCGAGGCATGTGCGCCGAGTAACGGCTAATTGGCCACCTTTCCTCTCCGGGAGAGGAACCGTCTCTCTCTTTCTGTTTCGTGACCGATCCGTGCCAGTTTTGCTCGTTCTGTCGTGCGGTTTACACCGAGTGCAGCTGGAGCTCCGGGAGCCATGAAGTTTTATCGAGGGACTTGTTAAAAACGCCGACTTTTCCGTCAGTCGAGCCGCTTACATCGTAAGTGGTCGTCATCCCTTTTTTTTTTTAATTTTAGATTCTTTTGGAACTTCTCGAGAAAGGTGGATATTTGTAAAGTGATCGCACGCATTTAAAAAAATTTATCTGTATTATCTTATTTGATATAAATAGGAAGAGTGAGATAAATAATCCTTATTTGTTAATAATCATATTTTGACGAATGGAATTTTTGTAGTCATAAATTCATGCATAGAATTGCAACCGCGAAAAGTGCCTTGCTCCGAATTGATCGCGCGAGTGATCGCCGTGAAAGTGCATCGAATGAAGAAGTTTAATTGTGCGCGCTATACTTTTATTAATATTCTAATCCGTTATCTATCGGAAGTGGTCGACTTTCCTCGCAAGAAAAGACTCGACAACGTTCATGGATTTGATTGTCGGGGATCAATTTTGAGCGCAAGTTGATTCGAAATATATCATTTCGATAATGACATTTCACAGACATTTTTCAGTAATATTTGAGCTATTTTAGAGAAATGTCAAGAAATGTGAAAGAAATATTTTGCTTTCTCAGAGAAAATTTTCTTCAGATTTTAGAAGAATCAATGTTTTCTCGATTTATCAGTTTGCTTTATTTCAATAAAAAAAAAATTATTAACAGAAAAAGCGAGAATATCAATAGTAAGTTGACAGTTGCCACTAGTATTTAACATATGGCAGTAAAAATTGTTAGTTTGTTATTTCAAGATACATCATAATTTCTATTGTGATATTATATAACATAAGATACACGCAATATATTTTAGTAATGTGTTTCGCCTTTTTTTTTATAGGATTGGGCAAATTCTTTTTAAATCCTACAAATAATTTTTTTTTATAAAAGTTCTCTTTCTATGTCAACTTTACTTTGTGGTTAAAATCACAATTTTCATAACGGAAAATTCATTTGCAGAGAAACATGAGTCTAATGAAAGGTATAATTTTGATAATGATACTCCATTGACTTCCGTTCAGTTTTGAAACTTAAGTTTCTAAAATTGAAAAAATTGCAAATGTATTAGAAAGATATTTTTAGAATCTATTGAATAGTTTGAAATAGAGGGAAACAAGAAAGCATTATCATTAAAATAGCATTTTAATTATCCCTTGAGGAAAACCCAATAAATTTGCGATCTTGCGCGAGTTTGCGATTCTTAACGAAATGATGCTGCAAATCTAATGAGGGATATTTGCCATCGTGCCCAGTTTTAGCGTGCATGCTGCAGTTTAATCGTCCGGCTAATTCGAAGTTTTTGCACACGAGCGACGATTTACGTCGAAAAGGAATCTCGTTCTAGTTATTCCGTTCTAATTACAACTAATATTAGTTCCAAACTTTAAGTGTAATATTGGTATCGCATTAAATTCTATTAGTAGGATAGAAATATCTGTGAGAGATTTCACTTGAAATTTTTAAGGAAAAATTCTCCATTTCAATTTTACAAACCTTTCTTGTCAATCATAATTTTCAGTTATTTATTCCACTATTTTATTCAGTAATATTAGAAGAAATATCGGAAACCTTTTTTTCTTTTGTTCTCCTCTCTCTTGAATAAATAATACAATTATTTCTACCACAAAAAATTGCAAATATTATTGTTACATGAGATTGCAATAGTCGCCGATTTGTAGACAATTTAACTATTGCCTTTGGATATAAAATGTTGTTTTTTCGCAACGTACGTCAATAGAGAAAATGAGATACTAATTTACGTGTAAGAAAGACCAGAAGTGTTTGTAGAGAAGGCGGTTAATAATTAAAGTTACTAGCGACTGGCATTAATTGTATGTATCGTTGAGAACCGGTCTGCAATATGTGTTGTGACCATTGATCATGAAGAGGAAACGGAGCAATGACAATTTATCTCTCTGCTTAGTAAGCGTTTAATGTACGCTATTTTGCAACATGAGGCATGTATTTCGAAAAGCATATGATGCAAAATAAGTGAAAAACGTAACAGCCAAATTTAGTGATGAAATTAATGACATGCTTAAAAAGAAGAAAATATAAATCATATAAATAATATTATTCTTGCTTGGATATACATTTTAAATAATACAGAAATCATATTATTATTATCTATCACATCGTAATTTATTGTTTGCATTAGAATTATTTTTATTTCTGTTGATATCAATAATAGGCAACATAAAAATTAATTAACAATAATTAAAATCTAATAAATCTAATTAGTTACAATAATTAAAATCTAATAAATGGGTACTTAATATTTTAAGTGGAATTTTGGTCTTTAAAAGTTTTGATAATAAAAATTGTAATAATAAAAATTAATAATAAAAATTGTACAAATGTGTTACTGTTTAATATAGCAATAATGCGAATATTATTTATATTTTTTAAATGTCATACACATATGGATTAATTGTTATAATTTTTTATGTTTCAGATCTCCGCGAATCGGAGGTCCTCTGTCGCAGTCGCTGGCTATGATTCCTCCGACCATGCACGGACACGAGTTCAATCAGCCCCTGTCGAGGGTAGTCATGGTTCGTAAAACGGATCAAAGGACTTTTAGCAAGGGGAGACGGGGCGGCGAACCTCTCCTGGAAACTGTTACCAGGGAAACTGTCGAACTCTTCAACGGCGGCCGAGCAGAAAGGAAGTATACTTCCGAAACGAGAGACATCGTTACACCCAAATCTAACAGGTTCGATAATTCTTTTATTTATCATTAATTATGTCATAATATAGCAAAGCGTTATATGTATATTTCCTCTATCGAGTCTTACATTAGTTGTTACTTATGAATACTTAATATTTATGGACGATATAAATCTACAAGATATCTCAGAGATCTGAATATCTAAATAGATTTAAATAGATTTCATTATTTATAGATCTATTTAGCTAAATCTATAAATAGATCTATTTCATTATTTATAGATCTATTTAGCTAAATCTATAAATAGATCTATAAATAGATTTCAAAGCATTGCCTTAAAAAATATTCCATTTCATAAAATTTATTTTTAAATAATTGTTTTTCCAAATTCTAAAGTATATAATTTATTCTTACATATTGTCTATTAGAATTTATTTCCGCCGTTTATTTCAATTGTTAATAAAACTTAAAAAAACTTAGTAACAAATAACTTTAAAAACAACAAAATTATTTTAAAATTAAGTTTTCTTCGCGGAATTATAATTTAAAGATATAATAGATAAACTTCAAAAAAACATACAAAATACATTTTATATGGTAATCAAAGTTTGAAGTTACGTAAGTCAGCACGTCATTTAGATGACAATGTGATTAGTGTTTTTCAGCTGCAATTATTTTTATTATTATTATACCTATCTGTCTGTTTGATAAAAACATATTAAATAAATATGTAAAATTTTGTTCTGTTTTATTTTAATATAAATTATAATATATTTATATCGGAAATATACTTAAAATATCTTATTAAAATTTTGTTCTTTACATCTCAAAATTTTCTATAAAATTTATTAAAAGAAGAAATATTGAAGATATTTTTCAAGGAAAATTGTGAAAACCACTGATGTTGGAAAATAATGTATACATGTGTGTTTAGAATAACTGATAAATTGATATTACAGTCGTAATTTATTTTCTTGCATTAGAGCGAGCAAAATGTTTCTTTAATGACTAGAATTGCTTTTCCTTCTTGTACGAATGTGTACCGGAAACTTGTTACACGATTCAAAATAGACAAAACCCTATCTATCGTAGAGTCAGCTGTCTTGTGTTTCAGTTCCTTTTTCTCCTTGGTATATATAAAGTAACAAGATTATTGTTTCTTTTCTTTCTTTTTAGAAATTTAATTGCATTTATATAATTAAAATGTTTAATATAAAATATTAAATTTGTGATAATTGATAGCTATCAAATATTTGTAGAGAAAAGTCCAATGTAATGATAGCTCACGGCGCCTTATACAATAGTGTAGATATTTCGAGAGAAACCGCAGACCGCAAGTATTCAACTGTCTCTCTCGTGTGGAGAGCGATACTTGCTCTTTCATAACTTTCAAAGTCTATAAAGAATTTGAGAAATGTCGTATGGCATTTGAAATATCTTCTGCTTCTTGTAAAGCAATTAATTTTTCTCGGTACTCTGTCGCGAGTGATGCTAGGAGTCAAGATAACTTGTATTTTTAATAGAATTAATAAATAAATAAATATATTGTATATATACATATTTATTATTCGATCAATAAAATAATCTAATTGTCAATGCCTTTTAAAAATACAGTTTTTACATGAAAAGTGTTCTAAAGCAAGACAATTTTTATTATTTATACATATATTCTCTGATCAATTTAATCTCGATTTTTCTTGATCAAAAATTCAATAAAATATTATATTTTTTATCTTTTTTATAATATTAAAATTTTTATAATTTTTATTATATTATTATATTATACTATTGTAATATTATAAATTAATTAAATATAATAATATAATAAATATTATATTATAATATTTATTATATTATTATATTATTATATTATTACTTATTATATTTATTTTTTTAAATATTACATTTTATCTTTTTTATAACAATTTCTTTTTGATAATATTTTGTGCGATAACATTATAGGTAAATAAAAGAGAGGATTTTTACTAATTGTCTTTAATTCTGAAATATATCTCCAATGCATTGTTGATCACAATTTAAAAAAATCATCTTCAACGAAATGTAATATTTGACAAATCAAATTTATTTACTCTCTGTGTTTTTTTGTCTTTTATTACTTCTTATCATTATTGTGAACATGAAGATTTTCGGAGTCCACAAAGAATTATTTTACGAGTTGTCTCGCTCCTACTGTTGCTCATGAGAAGTGACTGCAATTTAACATTCCTCTTGTGTAAATCGTTGCTCTTGTAGTATGCCGTCACTCAACGTGCAAGGAACGAAAAAGAAGGTGGTCGGTTTTGTCGATCAAGTGTCACCTGAAAGGTATAATCGCCATATGACAGCGCAGACTTGCAGTCTAGCCATATTCCGATTCCAGTGAAGTGCAAGTAAGCATATGAAAGATCATCTTGCTACAGACAGCATCTTGCCGATGTGTTGTCACTTAGATGCTTTCCGAAACTTCACTAGGATCGGTAAGTGGTTCTAGTTCACTAGCGTACGACGTAGGTGGCACATAGAAAGCCGAGTGACAGCTGAAAGTTCGCGTGCTTATGTTCAAACGAGTTGCAAGAGGACAGCAATTTTGTAAGAACGCTGTAAATTATCGGCTTTCACGATAATGTAACAAGACGATAATATTCACTCGCCAGAAACGAAATTGAAACCTACTGCTGAATAAATTGAAAGTACGAGATCCTCGGACGCTGTAAAATATATACGTGTCTCTCTTTAAGTTATATCACTGAGATAGGCTCTTCTCGTTTAATTGTAATGATAACTTGTGGGACGGCAATTTTATTAATTCTAATTTTAGTTGATATATAATTTACTATTAGCAGTATTTCTGAACATCAAATTTATTACAGAGCGTACATTAAAAATGTGAAATATAATTATCAAGATGCATAAGATTTGTTGTAAAAATATATATCTGTCGTTTCAATTTAATGGAAAACAGTTTTCAGATATAGTGTAACAATTTTCTAAATACATAATTTTACTAGCAACGTATAAATTATTTTCAATGGCAACGATTAATCATGTTTAAGCGTATGTAACGACGCTTGAATGTATGCTGATGAGCTTGCGAAAAAGAAATCCACACTCGGATCGTTTAACTAAAAGATTAATTGCCGCAAGGTCGATTTTGTTGGGATTAAATTTTTATCGACGAGGAACACATCGTTTGCTCAACGTCAACGATATGCGATTCCGCCCACGCGGTCGAGGAAGAACTTTCGATGCAACTCGTTTGAATGCGTCAAGAATAATGAATGCAATAAAAATGAGATGGAGGAAATGTGCAATAAAATATGGCATGTCAAATACACATGTGTTATGTTCCGTTTTATTTCTTGATGATTCAGAAAATTAATTTTTATAATTATATAAAATTTTTATTACAGTTACAAGATTATAAATATTAAAAGTTTTCATGAATCTAACTTTAAAGGCATATAACAAAATTTCATTTCTTCTCTATTCAATTTTTATTAATTTTTATAAATTAAATTAATTTTGTTTTGCTGATATTTCTTTTTATTTTAAGAACTATCTGAAAATATTTAAATTCTCGAAAATTACGAAAGCTTGATATTTTTATCATGTAGAAATCAATTCAAAGTACTTGCCAAAAAATTCTATCGATGCTTCATTATAAGACATGCTGCATTTTATTGTGACTGGACCTTTATTTCTGGCCTCCCTTCTCTGCGCGCGACGTAACAAAGGAAACGACAACCTTTCTTCCGCAGCGACCATGGCCGTGGAGGCTCGTAGGAAGGAGGAAGTACGAGCCGTGCTCGTAAAAACGTATGTGATGGTACATACGTGAGCGCACGATGAAGCCGCTATTTCGTTTCACGTGATCTTTAACAAGGCCCGGTGAGAGCCTCAGAGGATTTTCAGCTCTCCCTTGGCTTTCTGATGTCGTAACGTCTCTTTGGGCTGAATACTGAAGTCGTTTCGATTTTAATAAATTTATTAAATAATAAATTTATTAAAATAATTTAATAAATTTATTATTTAATAAATTTATTATTTAATTATTAATTGCTTGATTAAAGGATCTCTTTTATAGAACCGTGCTGATATTTTAACTCTCACAAATCCAAAAATGTAATATTATTTTTCACGATACAAATGAATATCCTTTCATTTTATTTTATTTTCATACTCAAATGCAGGTAATTATTTATTAAAATTTACATTGAATTAAATTCTGTCGTGCACAACAATTTTTGAAATTTTTTCAAATCTATATTCTAAGTAAGTTCTGTTTTAGATATTTTTTTTTTATTTGGCATAATATTAATGTGTTTGCTTTCCCATAAATAGACGTCGAATTGCGAATTGCTCTGGAAATCCATGAAATATCGGACATAAAATATTCTCCGAACTTGTAGCCCAGAATTCTGAGCCTGCTCTATAAACGTATAATAAATAACCGAAATTCTCGAGTTCACCGAATAACGTCTGGCTTCCGAAAAAAAAATGTATGTTCATTTTCTTTAAATCGACATTTATATCTGTGATGGAATTATGTATGTGCAATTCGCGGCAGTCGTTTATCTACGGTGTATCCGTTCGTATCATAATGGCAAGTTAACTGCACAGTCCGACAAGATTGCTATTCATTAGTCAACGTGCAATTTTGCGCGAAACGATCGCGGATTTGCATCATAAGCGTATAATGATTAGAGATCTGCGACAGGAATTGTTTACACGAGCAAACAGTATTCAGTCTATCGGTGAAACACTCTAGAGGACTAGATTAGAGACATCTTTGTAATCGCACAATGCTGCTATTGTTAGATGTCTTCACATTTAATAACTTTGATCCAGTACGCATAATCATAATAATCGTTCATATGATTGAAACCATCGCACATCGTTATTTCAATGGCTTTCAGCTTGCTTACATTTCATCGAGAAGCATCAAATGTACCAGCACTATTTGAAATTATACGCGTCACAAGTATTAATTGTATCTCGCGTAATTATGCAAATAATGTAAAAGCAATTCATTTTTGTCAAAATAAAATAATGTCAAACGTAATAATAGATTAAGTCGCATTAAAATGATATAATTTTATATCTTTGTAATATCTGCGTTTTTGAGAATTATCAGAGAAAAGAAGCAACAGCGCTCTTAAACGAGATGCGTAAGATAAGATTCATAATTTAAGATAAGGACGCAATTTTCGATTACAATTTATTACGCTTTCATCACGAAAATATTTGAATCAACTGCACAATCTTTTTAACACACTTTCGACTTTATATCATACTTATTTCAATGTCACTACCTCTTTGACTGTCGGAATCAAAGGAAGAAAATCATATCAATTTTGACAAATAAAATTATAAAATAAATTGATAGTAAAATTAAACTCTTTTTTTTCTTGTTTTAGAATTTTTACAATATGTGTATTCAATTTATAACAATTTTTATTCTAATCTATCCGTCTAATGTTGCATGAAAAAAATGATTACTTCCTTTAATTCCATCATTTCTTGGATGTCATTACTTTGATAAGAATTCTTTCTAAAAAACATTTTAATATGTTTTTCATTATTTTTTCTGGATCGATTATTAATAAAAATATAATTCACGATTTTTTTGTTAATTTCTACAAAAATATAAAATAATTAAGTTCTAAAGGATTCTTCTTAAAGTAAATAGTATATTCAGACTAAACGAAATTCGGCCTATATATATTTCTGCTGAAATAGAGTCACTTCTTATGCAAATGAATTTCAATAAACTCAGTCTGCTTGTTTAAAGCATTCAGTGTTTATACCGCGCGTCGCTGTACTGTCTAGAGCAAAAAGGAGCTCTGTGTTTCTCCGTACACCGTGTAATCGGTTTACTTTCAGGTCGAGGACGGACTCGGTAAGATCCAAATCCCCGTTGACGGCGTCGCCGGCATCACCGGGTCCCTTGTCAAATTCCTTGCACGGTAGTTTTCACGGCAGTCTAGGAAGCGATGGCATGTCCTGCAGCAGCGCCAGGTCCTCCTCGGCGTCTCCCGATTCCGCGAGATACTCGTCTTCGCAGGTAACGACATTTATCGCGATATTTCAGGAATCCAAAAATCTACAATTACAAAAATTCGAGATAAAAAACTCGAAATGTGTGGTATTCCGAAATCCAACAATTTCAAGGATCGCAATCAAAATTTGTAGGGTTTGATTTTGAATTTCTAAAGTACTGAAAATCGAAGAAGTTGGAGCTGCAAAGATTAAAGCGCATAAAATAAGACGTGCAAAAAGAGGAGAAAATATATAAAAATAATTTGATTAAGACGATAGAAACTTTGAGATGCATATCTCATGTAAATGCACGATGCAAGCGTTTATGTAGCTCATCCAAATAGACGAAGAAAATAATGTTACGACGCGAGTTAACAACATTGTGCATTACGCTAATAAGTAATTAGATCGTGCTACTTGTGCGGTAAATTCCGCTTTCGAAACCCGACATCACATTTTATAACAAACTAGATTTATTTACATTAAATAAGTTTCTTTTATGCTGGGATAAATTTTTCAATAGAAATTTGATAAGATATTTTTATATCGAGATAATAATACTAGATCATTCTAAAATTTATTTATATATATTTATTTTAAAATTACATGCATAATAAATAAGAAAAGAGGGTCTTCTGAAACTGGAGGGACAGAAGCAAAGACGTTAATCGACCTTACTGACAAGATGACTTTCTTTGATAGTTTCTCATTAATCTGTCGCAATCTTCTCGTATCGAGGGAGTCTTTTGGTTTCAACCTACTTGGCAAATTAGCCGGTTGGAAAGCGCAGCTCGCCACACGTGACGTCGATGCGCACGATGTGTGAAAGGAGCCTAAACACCATAAGACTCTCTTCGCGGAGAGGTGCATTGCCATCTGGCGATGACTCAGGATCGCTCCTTTTTTTTAAGAGTCACGTCTGACCGTCTTGCGCGATTGTGAACGATGATTGGTAGATCATTGCGCGATCATTTGGGGTCCGCGCGATGACTAATTTGCCCGAACTGCGCTTCGTGCGCTCGCGGAATCGATTTTTCCGCTCCATTTTCCGCGAGCGCACGTCGTCGCGTTCCCATTCCCTCTGCTCATTCTTCCTATGTGCGTCAAGTTTTTACACTTACGTTAATGCCCTTGTCCTCAAAACGGTCCGGCGATTTGTAGCATGGATTAATGCATATTCATTAAGCAAGACAGGATCAGTGTCTTAATTTCCTAGATTTGAATGCTTTTAATTGCTTGACGCCAATAATGAATGATTGAAGGAATTTCCTTGAATTCCGTTTAATCTCAAGACCTCAGTTCTTCTTTTCCAATTGTTGTGTGTATGTAATTTATTTATAAATACCTAATTTTCTTAATTAATAATTTTTAGGGAGATTATTAGGGCGAATACAAAATATTTTATTGGCTCCAATATAATGCTTATATTTTTAGTTTTTATTTTATTAAGTCATTGCCGACTATTGCGCGAATGATGGATAATTAAATAGACAATCGCGTCAAAGAGCTCTGAAGCTACCGCCAGTTTAAGTCCCACGAGAATTATCGCTGCTATTCCGAGCTGTGTCAAATTGCGATCTCCAATTTAATCTTGAAACTTGTATCAGAAAAAGACATTTTATTTTTTCATTAATCACATATCATCGATTAATTCGCTTCAGAAAGAAATTTAACAAGTGATCACGTAAATCAGAAGCGTGAGCAAGAGTCTCCGAGTTTCCTGGTCGTATAAAAAATGACCATGTTCTTATAGGACGATGGGAAATTTGTGTCGGTTAGTGTACCACCCACAGAAAATTCCGTATTCAAGTTATCAGAGACATTGTCTAGCTTTCATATCGCATCATTGTTGCTTCTTATCACACATATTTGCATCGCTGCGTTTTAATGCATTTTAGTAGTAAGCAATGTTTGAAAGGAGCAAAATAAAAGGTCGATGATAAAGTATAGTTAACTGACTGATAAATATGAACGCGTAGTCTTCGTATAGATTTCATTAATATATCTGCGGATTCTTTGATCCGTCATACGGCGTTTTTCTCTATGTGTTGTAGATAACAAAGACTGACACGCGTAAACCGTCTGTGCGCAGATCGGGGCCTCCGAAGGAATTCATCAACGTCTGCCTCGACACGCACAATTTCTACCGATCGCGGCATGGAGCACCGCCATTACGACTCAGCAAACAGGTTACTGTCGATTTTCTTTCCGCACCGCAATAAAATTGTAGTCCCCACCAAACAACTTCGGAGAATCGAGAAAATTTTTTTATATGCTTATGATGCTTTATAGCGTTCTCGGAAGTTGTTGGAGGTATTTATTTTAGCGTCTTTAGCGCGTACCGGAAACGATAAGTGGTGTTCATTAATTTGCAGCTGTGCAAAACAAGTCAAGACTGGGCTAACATATTGGCGGCCAGGGGTAGATTAGAACACAGGGCGAACATTGACTATGGAGAAAATCTGTATTGTATGTGGAGCTCGAATCCAAAAACCATCGTTGGTGGCGAAGAGCCAGTGAACGAATGGTAAAGTTATTAGATTGGGCATTTCTTGTTGAAGTATATATTATTAAAATTGTGTTACGTAGACTATCATTATCATTATATTATTAAAGTAAAAAATATTTAACGTAATTAACATAATAATAAAAAAAAATTAGAATAAAATTTTATTATGATCTTTCTTATTAATATACATTTTTAGATCGATACCTGTCTCTAAGAAAATAAAGATATATCTATAGATTATAAAGTTATTATTATTACAAATAGTTGATTATATTTATTTAATTCATATTAAATTTGCATTATTAGACTTGAACTATCTTAATTGAAATTTTCATTTTTTGCAGGTATGCTGAAGAAACTCAGCATCAATATGGAAAGGAACCCACGACATTGAAGACTGGTCACTTCACTCAAGTGATCTGGAGAGACAGTACTGAATTAGGAGTGGGAATGGCCAGGAATCGAAATGGTGAAGTTTATGTTGTGTGTAACTACAATCCCGCTGGAAATTTCCTAGGCAGTTTCACGGAAAATGTCCTTCCACCTGTGGAGACTAGTCCTGCAAAACGAATTAATTTTACCGACTTTAAGCAACAATATACGATAGACGAGCAAGCGTGGCAGCAGGAAGCATTGCTAGTTCACAATGAGTACAGAAGGAAACATCATGTGACAGATTTGAGATTGAGTCCGGAATTAACAGCCGCTGCCAAGGTAATTTTGAAGCATAATCGTAATTTATTGAAATGTATATATATATATATATATATGTATATATTATTAAATAATTTTAATTTTAATTTTAATTTTATATAATTTTAATTTAATTTTTTCCATTTTTATTTTATACTAGAATGTGACTGATTGAAAGAAAAAAAGGAGACTGTAAAGCATTAAAATCAAATGCGTTATTTTTGCTTATTTATTTGTAGGCTTGGGCGAACACATTGCTAAACACAAATAAATTGATACCTCAATCTTCGTCTCCGTACGGCGAAAATATTTATTCGATGCAGTGTTCCGATCCTAAACTGATCGTCTCTGCGCGTGAAGTCATTTCAAAGTGGTATTCTGAGAAGAAAGAGCACAAATTTGGCGTCGAGCCGAAAGTTCTCAATACATGTACGTATAAAATAATATTTCTACATATAATTAATATATCATAAGTATAATCTCTTCGAAAAAATGTAATATTCCTATAGAAATAGCAAGTCAAATTAAAAATTAAAAGAAAAGACTTGTTCTGATACAAATTCTTATTTATGTCTATTTATTATATCTATTATTTTTTTTTAATTATATGAAATATATATTCAACAATTTTTGACATTATAAAAAAATTAGAACATATTAATGTGAGACTTAACTTGGCAGAATTAAATCTTACGTATAATAAACAAAATGTGTGAATGTAATGTGAATATTTGCATTAACATTTCTATTTTTTGTTTTTCTTTTTATAGGCCACTTTACTCAAATTGTCTGGAAAAACACGACTGAAATGGGCATTGCTATGGCCAAGCGAGACGGTACGTGCGTGATAGTGGCATGTTACCATCCAAGAGGTAATATAGTAGGACAATTCACCGAAAATGTATTGAAACCCATAAAGAACGTCTGTTAGCTGATTAATCATTTTCGATTTACTTTTGTCGATAATGTAATTAAGTTCTGTATTTATGTATCGTGCAAATAACGCTACGCGTAATATATGTAATGTATATATGACATTTTGTGCATACAAGTAGAATAAACATTCCACGTACAAGCATTTGTACCTTTCTGGCTGTACTTTTCTTTGTACATTCCAACTTTATCAAGTGGTAAAATATGAGGCACAACTGTATTTTTTTTTTATAACAAAGTATTTCATATTTCTCTTTTATTAAAAATCAAAATGACTCTCTCGAGTCTTTAATGTGAAGGTTTTTATTTTTTTATTCAATGTCATGCGTATTTTTTCAATGTTGCGAATTCTGTATAAAATTATTAATTTTCGATACATATTTAGTGATAAAAGGATCATTATTTTATCTTTCAAAAATTTCAATTTCTTGAAAAATGCAAGAAATGAATTTCCGCAAATACGTCGGTTCTTCGAAATAATCTACTATAACATGTAATATTAATAATACACACTCAATACGATAATCAAAGAAATAATTTTTTTAATAATACGCCGCCTAATTAAGCAATTTTCCACTTTGGAGATTTATAATAATTTATTTATAATAAATTTACATGCACACATCGCACGCATCGCGTTACAACGTCGCATATATATATATATATATATATATATTTTTTTTATATATATAGATACATTCTCTCTCTTTGTTTTCTGCTTTTCTTATTTTACATTACATACAGCCGTTTACAATTGTGTTTGTGGTCGAGAAATGCTTAATTATTTAAATCTTATTGTAAGAACCTGCTGGACGCTTCTACAAGATTCGCGCCATTCGAAAAGAATCCATTCGAGGTGCGTCAAGCTCTTGCTTAAACTTTCGAAGGAACTTGTGTGATATTCTGTGCATCCACGAGAAGACACGTGCATCTCTTTTCGAAATGAAAAACAAATTCACGCTTTACAATCACTTCTAACTCGATCAACCTCAGGTCATGACAAAATTATTGTAATTAGAATACGAGAGTGTATTTTGATCACTTCTCTCCAAAATGCGAAACATCTTTCATTCCTTTGATTTTGCAAGTAATACTATTAACTTTAAATATATCTTTGAAGGGAAAACGTTGCATAAAATATTTTGTATAGATATTGATAGAAAAATGTTTATTAAAATTTTTGTCTCACTTGATATTAATCTTAATATTGAACAAAACTCAGATTTAAAATTAGATAACCGAATAAAATGCGACACTGATGTGCTAAATATAAGAGAAAATATAAACTATATAATATTTTACATTATGCAAAATGATAAGAAATATCTAAATAAATAAAAAAGGGGAATTGTTTTAAGATAGCATTTTATAATAAAAATATAATATTCATATTCTCTTTAGAAATTTTCAGAAAATTTATAAACACTCGACAGCGTATGTGTATTTTTGCGCTCTAAAAGCACGAGAACTTTAACAAATAATTTTATAAATTTTAAGAAAGAAACTTGTATTTTTTGAGTTTTATATCACGAATATTGAAAATAATTTCTGCAATATTAAAACAGTGTTAGATTCCTTACATATACATGAGTAAAGTTATAATATATTGGGACAAAAATGAAGGAAAAACGAATTTGATTATTGATCGTCTCTGTTTTCAGTCGATTATTATTTGAATTAAGTAAGAAAACCTATAAACATTAATAATAAAGTATTTTATCTTTTTTTAATTTTGAATTATTCTAAATTAATCGATTAATTGCCAATAAGAGAGAACTGTACGAGTTACGTTTTTATTTCTACTCTCGAAGATTTTACATTTTTTAATATAAACTCAAGTAAAAGTAATAGATATATATCTTTCGAAGAATAGAATCAAAATTTTTTTTAGATTTTCTGCTTTTCGAAGAGTCAAACACATGTTGCACGCGATAAATCATTGTACTTATTATACGCTATGATGAGAATCGCATGTGCTTTTCTCATTTTCTCTCTCTCTCTCTCTTTCTCTCTATTTCTCTCTCTCTCTCTCTCTCTCTCTCTCTCATTCGACACGTAATTCGAACAATTTTCTTCAAGAGCAAGTTTTACTAAAGATTACCGCATTAAATTGTAACATGATACTTTATATATTATTGATCTGAGTTTAACTATCAAGATTCAGGTCACATTATATTGAATTGATTCTATAATTAATTATAAGTATATACGTTCTCTGAATAATGATTTTCCGCGCTCTGGTAACGTCACGTTGACGCTCTCGATGCATTCGTAGCGTTAAAATTTTCTCTATAATTTCACAGGGTAATTTCCTCATTAATACTTTCTCCATCTGAAGAAAGAGCATCTATCCATCTGAATGTCAAGAAATATTTCTAAATTGAATGCAATTTTTTCTGAGTAAAATAAATCGAAAATGAATCCAAAAGAAAATATGTCAAATTTGAGCAATATATTTGAAATCGAAAAGGCTCTTTTCTTCAATGTGATAAAATCTTTATGAATAATATGATCTTCTTCACACTTACTTTGCTAACATTATAAATAAAAGCACGTCGCAATAATGGTCCGATTGCACTCCGGATGTAGTTCCAATCCTGCCACAACGTTCTTTGATAAAATTATATAAAACTACCGAGAGCTTCTCTAAGGCGATTGCTGTGTATCTGGAACAAGCTCGTACTTGCTCATCGTTTGTAGAATACAGGAACCTACTCTATATATATTAACGACATAGAAAATCCTTCTTTCTTGAAAGGTAATTCACTTGCGTATTTATCTACATATAAAAGTCTATAGATCAACATCATCGGGGCAAAGGTGACACAGTCTCCTTAATGCTAATCGAAGAGAGAATAATAGAGAGCTAACGAAAGAAAAAGAGTAATAGAGAACGATATGAAGAACGAGATAAAGAATTTAGAATTTAAACGCGCGAGCGATTAAATGCTGAGAATAATCAATTTTGCTTCGATGAGATGTTAAAATAACGAAAATATGATAATTCCACATGCATACATCTAATAATCTCAATCGAGCGAATAAACCAGAGAGATGCATTGATTTTACATTTGATTTTGATTTTATACAAAGCAAGACCCGCCTCACGACTCATTTTAGCTACGCAAAAATAAATTAGTATCTTTTTTTGGCGTTAAAATTTGGTTACTGATTTCTACGATTTTTTTTATCTTGTGTTTGAAGATTTCTTTAACTTTTTGTGTTGTGTGTTTTATATTTGCTCCTGAAAATATCTAACTTTTGCTTTAATCTTTAATTATTATAGTTGAATTAAATCTAAATTATATTAGGTTAATTTATAAATCAATTATTTTATAAAATATTAAATTTCTATCCAGGTGTAACAATTTGTTTTGCAATCTAGTTTTATGTAAGGCATTTTTGTTGCATTTTTTTATAAAACTAAATAATATTAGAAATAATAATATTGGAAATAATATTTTATTTCATGACCAAAATCACAGATTGGATTTTTCACAAATTAGACAATTAAAATACTAATCTAATATAATTTTTAATCTAATATAGTTTTTCGTAAATTTTTAATCCAAACTTGTTTTTTCTTTATCAATGTTAATGTTTTATTAGTACATAAAGATATTTTCTTCTTATCAAACGTTGATAAAATAAAGAAAACTAATTTTGAAGGTTGCATTTCGTGGGATATATTTCTTGTCGCACATAATAAGGCCAATCTAATTAGCTAATGAAAGTAATCGAAGCAGGTACTCGATAATATATGACTCGTTTGGTCGAAGAAATGTGTAAATTGGTCAACAAACGATTGCATTTGGCTGCAAACGCCACGATTGTGACGCTACGTTAAAAATTTAATTGTATTGCACCGACCTTATTATTGCCAACTGTGATTCAATCATATCTTGTGGACAATATTTCATTATTAATCTATCGAATATCTTTTAAAAAATAGTCAGAATCCTTTTTCCAGTTTTTCAACTTTTATAATTGCGTATTCCATTTTATGTTACAACACTTTAGAAAGATGCAAGGAGTCACCGTTCACAGTTAGATAATCATAATTCAGCCGATGCAACTCTTGTCTTGAATAACGACTCTCGTGTTCGACTAACTAATTGAACGGATTATTTAAGCGAGAATAATCGTATTCACTCGCTAAGAACAACTGATTTTTCTCTGACACGTTTTGTGCTCAGAATAGAGACTGAAACTAATAGAAAATTATCGAGAAGAAGAACAAGAGAGGATAGCAGCTTCCGTGCGATTCATTTGCGATTAATTCTCATCTCGCAATTTTCGCAATGCCGTTTTTGTCTATATCGGCTTGTAACATCGGCTTGTAAATCTCGTCGTCACATCCAACGATACATCGTGGACGATACATCAGTTAATGCTAAAAAGTCACGATAATACGCGCGTGTTCTAAGCACTTGCCTAAAATACTCTTTCTCCTATTTACGTAGAATATAACAGTGATCTCCGCGCGAGCGACACTCTCGCGTGATATGATTAAAATGGTCATACATCGTATCTTTAATATTATGTATAATAGACTCTTTCTTCTCTCGCGTCCCGTAAATTTCTCTAATATAAAATTATTCGCGCTCGATCGCTGAGCACGACGATAAATAGGAATCGAGGAGTGCGTTGTAGACTATTCCTACCTGTATTCTTGTCTCGTAACTCGAAAATGTATGAAATGAACGATGGGCGAACGGCTTCCATGAATCAATTGCGATTTCGAGTTCATAAATACTGCATTATATTTTGATATATATTATAAACTAATTTTATTTTTATATATGTTACAAATTAAAAGTTATAAAGAGAAAGAAAAATCCATTCTTAAAAAGAAAATTATAAAAATAATTAATACGAAAATAATTTAAAGATAAAGTATCTTTTAGAGCAATTTCTTTTTTCAGTAAAAGTGACAGCAGTTTAATAATTTTGTACATATTTCGTATTTTTTCTATTATTTTAATATATATTATATTAAACATATATAAAACATAATAAACTTTGTTATATATTGATCAAGACATTTATATGTAATTTTTTGTAATTTTGTTAAAATTTAAGGATATTTTGTTAAAATTTAAGGATATTTATATACAATCCCAATAAAAAGTAGCTGAAAATCAATATTGACGAATATCTACTTTTGATGTATTTTGAATATGAGAAATTGTGTGGAATATTACAATTTGATTTTAGCTACAGTGCAGAGATGTATTTTTTAATATTTATTGCGTTTTTACTGAAATATTTCGAATTTTGTTAATCAAAATGATTAACTTTTAGCAGAGAATTTCGCCTTGTGACAGATACATGGCTAACTTCATTAAATTATATTTAATACCTTTTTAACCAGTTAGTACTTGTACAATATTATTTGATGAAATACTTCCTCTGTGTCTAAACTTTTGCAAATTTTAAACAAATTCTGAATATTATTTTCATGTGGTTTTGTCATTTGACGTGGTTATACGTTTCCCATAAGAACACATGTTAATTCAATGCAGATTAAAATACTTATAACTTGTGAACGCTCCAGTGAATCGATTTAAAAATTGCACTGAAGATTCTAAATATATGTAAGGACATTCTGTACAATTTTAATTAAATTCTCAATATTTTGAAAATAGGTACAAAACATCCTTAATTATTCATACTCAAATTAAATCAAATATGAACGTAACGAAAATGACAAATTTTAAAAACGGAATCCAGGACACAGAAAATGAAAATACTTTTGTGATAATTTGTATTGATCGCAAGTGATTCGGAATATTAGCTATCGTATGATGAGCTTTTTTAAAATGCCTTTCGCATTATAACTCGAGCTCTTACATTTTGACGAATGAAGTCGCATGCGTGGACGCTAGAGGCGACCTAGAGAGCAAAACGTTTTAAGAACGCAGCCTGCTACAGGTACGAATTACAAAAGTAAGGTACACCAAAACAAATCTCTCATAACATTGCATTACATCGCTCTCTAACAATGAATTACCGTGTACTAGTTACTGACTGATACTCGACGTGACTCTCCATCCACGCATCGAGACTTTCCAAGCAGAAAACTGTAGTCCCATAAAGAATCAGAGTCTGACATATCACAGTTACGATTCGATATACCAGCGCTTAGGTCCACGAATTGTAATGAATCGCACCGCCTCGAAATGAAAAGGACAGCACTACCATAAATTGAAGCGAGAATAGTTCAACAATATTAACCTGGCGCCGAAAATACCGAGATAAAGGAGGTAAGCATTCAAATTTCTATCGGCATTCTTTTTATCAATTACTTCGATAAGTACTAACAATAATTTACGTACATCTATTTTCTCACATAAAAACTGTAACGCGTAGAAAGATTCGGAAAATGAATCAAAGTTGGAATATTGTCGACGCAATCAGTTCTAAACTAGAGCCAAATTAACCTTGCCGATGTAATTTCGCCCCAATTTACCCGACATTGCGAAGCATCCTTCGACATTCAGAACAGTCACCAGCCCGACGTAATTGGTTTCAAACACCTTGCTCTCCGGCCGTCCCATTTATCCGGCTCGATCGAATCGGAAAAATGTCGCTCTATTCGCTACGATTGCCGTAGAGACGCCGTTCTCGACGCCCAGCCTTGAACGCCGAATGTGGGAACGCTACAGCCACTTGTTTCGAGCCACGCCGGAGAGCCTGCGTCCCCACATAAGGTTATATCATACTATTGTTCCCTGTATATGCTGCGGATCCTGCGTGGCACCTTGCATCTGGGGGGACTGACAGGGTGAGCCTATCGGGCATTGAAGCGAGGGTGGGTCGTAGAGGCCACCCAGGGACCCACCAAGACCCGCGCCGAGGCTGGGACCGAAGGCCGCGTTGAGCTCAGGCATGGAAGGCAGGCCCACGTCCAGGATACCCGTGTTGCTGGCCCCGCCGCCCTGCGAGCCTTCTTCCGGCGGTGTAACCTCCAGGCCGATCGAGCCGTTCAAGGCAATCTTGATCGGGTTGTGATTGGAGGGGTGCGAGAGCGCGCCCAGACCAATATCCTCCAGACTGCTCTTCCGCCTGGTCGTCGTCGTCAGACTCTGTCTCAGAGAATTACTTCGCCGCAGCAGGATGTCGTCGACCACCCTCAGCGAGTTCGAACGACCGCGCAGAGTTCCGGCCACGGTGGGACTATCGGGTAGGGACAGCGAGTTCGACTTTGTCGTGCCGAGAGGCGGCGGCCTGGCCAGACCTATGCTGGATCCACGACGGCTTCCCGGGCCACCTGTCTGGAGACCCGCGGCCGCGACCGCCGCGCTCATCTGCGACACCAGCTGCGCCGAGCAGAAGCTGATGTTGCTCTTACGCCGGGAGTTGTGCCGCTCGAACGTCTTCTGCGCGGAAAACGGGCTCGGCCGCACCAGATAGACGATGTCGCCCTCCTCGAGTTTCAGGTCACAGCTCGGGTTGATGATCACGTAAGAGAGACTGCTGCGCTTCTCCGATACGTCGTCGTAATCGGCGACCGGTAGGTTGAGCGACTCCATCCGCGAGCGCACCAGGTTTGCGATCTCTGCTCGTTCGATCTGCTGCGCGTGGTTGTCGCGCGCCTCGTCGCCGAGGCTCACCGAATACTAGCGGTATATGGAAGAGATCAAGTATTAGTATATTTGCACTTGAATAACAGGCAGTCTGATGTGACGGTCGGTAATATCAACGAGGTGGCCTAACCTAACCTTGGTTAGCCTAACCTAACTATTCTTACTGTCATCATTACGTATTACATTTTCTGTTTTGTTATATTGTCCGTTTTAAATTCAGATATATAAACTTTTTGGAAGAAGAATCAATTAATATATTCACATGAATAATCCCAGCAAACGCCAAGTAACAGTTATATAACCGTTTTTTTTTTTTTTTTAGTTATAATTTCCTACTCAACAATATAACAGTTATATAACTGTTACATGTTGTATAACCGTTAAATAATAATTATATTGTTTTAGTTATGATTTCGTACTCAATAATATAATAGTTATATAACTGTTACATGTTATATAATTGTTAGATAACAATTATATTGTTGAGCGGGAAATTATAATTAACAATTATATAACTGTTACTTAGTGTTTGCTGGGATATAATACAATAAAATCTTTAATAAATGTATATTTATACAGGGTGGTTTAAAAGTCTGGAAACGGTCAATTATATCTCAGAAAATAGTCCTGTGGGAAAATGTTTCAGACAAAAGTTGTAAGATTTTAAGTGACGCATTACACAGTAATATTACTATGACCTTGAGGAGTGTTGTTAAGGTCACGTGAGGGTCATCTTAAATTTCTTAAATGGAACCCTCTATTTTTAATTACATGTTCTTGTAACTTACCTAGAGAGGTTTTCAAAACACTATAATAAAGTATTTTTTCATTGAGTACTTTCCGAGTTATGAAACTTGAAATCATTTCTTAATTTTACATAAACCATAAAATATCTAGAAAAATATTCACTTTTCGATTATCTTACCTTAATACTTTTATGTACAAAATAATGAGAGAAATCAATTGGTGTAAAGAAAACACATAGTTGTTTCGAAAAAAAAATATGTAATTTGCAATTAACAATTACATTTTTTTTTTTCGAAACAACTATGTGTTTTCTTTACAATTAATTCCTCTCATTATTTTGTACATAAAAGTATTAAGATAAGATAATCAAAAAATGAATATTTTTCAAGATATTTTACGGTTTACGTAAAATTAAGAAATGATTTCAAGCCTCATAATTCGGAAAGTACTTAATGAAAACTAACTTAATTATAGTGTTTTGGAAAATTCTCGAAATAAGCTACAAGAATATGTAATAAAAAATAGGGGATTCTGTTTAAGAAATTGAAGATGATTTTGACATAATCTAACAACACTCTTCAAGGTCATAATAATATTACTGTGTAATGCGTCACTTAAAACCCTACATCTTTTGTTTGAAACATTTTCCCACAGGACCTTTAATTTCGGAGATAATTGACCGTTTCCACACTTTTAAACCACCCTGTATGTATCCATTATATTATGTGCCAGATGCAACACGTGACTTGTTGCGGCTTGCAAGGTATTATTACAAAAAGGTTTACGATTAAAATGATATCATTCAAAACAGCCACCTTTTGGATATCGGTTGAACGTCACAATCGATGGATCTTAAATCTAAGCCATAAATAAAAACATCTTTGACTCGTGAAGACGATCGAGAATTCCTGATACGAATATAATCAATCGGGGATGCAACGACACGGCGGTTTACATGCGCTGCTGTGCTGCGGCAGACGAGTCTGGACATCCATCAGACAAATGTGTGAGCGTGATAGAGAGAGAACAAAGGAGATATAAATATAGATAGAGAAAAAGAGAAAGAGAGAAAGAAGGAGAGAGAAAGAAAGACAAGAGCGATAGAGTGAGAGAGGCTGGAACACGTGATGAAAATATACATAAAACAATCGGAAGAGAGAGAGAGGAAGAGAGGAAAGAGAGAGAGAGAGAGAGAGACAGAAAGAAAGAGAGAGAAAAAAAGAGAAGAACAGCCACCACGTCGACGTTTTACTCACAGCAGATGCACCCTTGTCGCGGGTGGCGCAATTCGCAAGGCACGATGCTGCCGCCGAATGACGCATCTTGTACGTCACACCGACGCCGGCGTCGCTTTCCGCGTCTGAATCGCCCTGCTAAAACGACAAGCAATTCTACCCTTACTAATGACAGCCGCGATGCCACGTCACTTTACGCGTCTGACACGAATGAGCGCAGCACGTTGCTGTCGCTCGACGTAACGATTAGATCGCGAGCTTCCCTCCAGCCAGAGAAGTAAACGCTTCTCGCTAAGGACGGTCGTGAAACGTAGCACGTACGAACGTTTGTGATTTTATCAGACGCTATTTATATATCTTTTTAAATCGTAACATTGATCAATCATCTTTGCTTCTCTAGAGAAGAAGATTGGGGCTCGAAGCTAGCTCTAAACATCTCTATTCGCTAATTCCTCGATACTTTATCACATGTCGCATATCGGAGATTAAAGTTTATCAACGAAAGCACACTGAATCTAGCACAATGCAAATTTAAAGACGCAGAGATCAATGAATTGGGAAGATGTAACGTGCTATGAGAGTCGGTTCGTCAAGATGCAACGGCCCCGCGGCTCGTTAGTTTACGCGCGACAGGATTAGGCCGAGAAATGTCACGAGAAGAAAGATGGGGCGGGAAACGAAACCAAGAAAAAGAGCGAGAGCACAAGCATGCGCTACTCACAGCTGCCATTCAACGATTCTTTTCCTATTTTCATAAAGAGTACAAGAGAACAAACTACTCCGGTTAGACTTCCCTCTCTAGATGAGAAATGTCAAATTTTACACTTACGTGCGACGAATCAGATACAGTAGTGTCCTGCGTCCTGTAGATTCCAATTGGTATCTCGCAAGTGGTCGAGCAGAGTTTCTGGTACAATCTGCCGTATGTTCTTATCCACATGTCGTCCTTGGTTATGCGCATCTGCAATTATTATCGTGATTAGTATGACGCTCAATAATAACAAAGCTAAATCGATCCTTTTCTTTTATAACTCTGATATAAAAATTGTGAAAATAAATTATTAAGACTTCTAATTAAATCGCAAGTTGATGTTGCAACTGCATCCCTTTTATTTATATTAATTAAATAAGTTTTAAACAATTATTCACCGACGTGAGGAACCCAGATCCTGGCGCTTGGTCCACTCCTAATAATAATCTCACGAATGTTATCACGTAGTCCTTGACGAATGCTTGATAAAGCAAAGTATCCAACATCGAAGCGCTGAAGACGCTGCCAGCGGCGAACGGCAGTCGAAACATGTACGATATGTGAGATCCCCTCTCTTTTTCTCTCTAGAAACATGCATGATTAATCGTTATAATAATTTTAGTTATTTCAATGGCTGTCATTTTAATAATTTTAGTTATTTCAATAAAATAAATAAATACCGCCAACTCTGTTCTGTGCAATTGTTCCTAAAATCTGTTACGAACTCTTACATATCTTTCGACAATATGCACGTACGTTTTTTGTCATTTACAGATGTTCGGAATATGTCGATATTTTAAATCTGATTAAATAGCAGTATTAATTTTTTCAAGTGTTTCGACAAATATATATCTAACAAATGCACGCAAGTATTTTTATGTTTTTATTTTTTTATGGAACTAATTGTTAAAACGTACATTATATTATATAATAAATAATTGTTAAAACGTACATTATATTATATAATAAATTTTAAAATAATTTTTAATCAATGCTGGTCTAATAATCTTCAATATAATAACGTCAAAGTTGATTAAATAAAAAATTTATTTCATGATACATTAGAATTACGTAGAATAAAATGTTTGATTTACATACATAAGATGAAAAAAAATCAGTTTTTTTTATTTTTTTCTCCAATCATTTCAACTCATTTTAATTCAGAAATTGAAATTTTTGAAATATGATCTACTTGAATGGATGTACTTTAATAGGTATTTATGTTAGCAATATGGAATCCATTATCCTCCTCCCATATCGAATATCTCAAATATGCAAATTTTCCGACATCCATCCACGTCACAACTCATCGTGCAATGTAGCGTGAAAGATACGAAGATGTTATCGCGATGATAAGTAATGGCGCAGCATAACAAGACGAAAAGGACTTCTAGTTTTGATGTGGAAATTTCAGCTCGCAAATGTGGCATTTAAGGGATAATCAGATTTATATTAATATCTCTAGAATGTCTAATGGCATTTACGGAGCTGAAATAACACACATTGTTGCATACAATTATATATATAGAAGAAGACTAGTGCAATCCTATAATTTGAAAATAAAATAAAATAATATATAAATATATATATAATAATATAATAATAAATAGATATATAATAATTTATAAATATATATATATATATATATATATATATATATATAAATTATTTTATTTTATTTTCAAGTTATAGTTTGCACTAGTCTTCTTCTAAATCACAATCAAACAACAGGTGATTATTATAACTTGTATAACATATGTACATAATTCTAAATTATAATTATGTACATTAAATATAATCTACGTTTCATTCATCTATTCAATTATGTTATGTATTAAAAAAACAAATTCCCCGATGTGATTGTCATCTAAAATTTTTGAATGAGCACAATCTTGATATAGAACAACACTTAAAGATTTTAAGGATCATAGAAGATTTGCTGAGTAAAATGTATGCACAAGGGTTGAATGAATCATGCTTTAAATAATGTACAATAGAAAAATAAGATGATATTGTATGCTTGCAAAAATATAAAGAAAGCGCCTATGGCACTTCGAAAGATTTTCTAATCTATTAAACACCATCAATTTTTCATGTATAATGTATACATATATTATACATATGAATTTTATTGTATGCTATGTAACATCAATATAAAATTCAAAAAATATAAGGAAAAACTATCGATATGTTAAACTTAAAGGGGCGCATATAAAGTTTGTTGTATGAGATACATGCATCGATATCTAGATTCTTAATCCTTTCACTACGATAATATAAAAGTGCAAAACGATCGTTCAGCCGAAAAAATATAGACTCGATGATTCGCGATATTGCAAAATTATCACATTAATTAAATATCGACACGTTAAAAAATAATAAATGTCCACAATTAATAAGTTCATTAGTAGAAATCGTAGTAAACTTGTTTAGCATATGTATTTTCGATTATACGAATATAAAATAGCATATCTATGCGTTTTATGTACCTTAACAAACATTTTTTTAAATAGCATTTGTGTTCTCTATAACGAAAGGATTAAGTGACTACAAAGTATTGATCACAAGTTGCTAGTATTTTCTACGTTTTTATCGCTCTCGTAAGATGTCCGTCATTTTTAAAAAAAATTTTTTGTCTTTATCAAATTTTGTCATATGATAAATATTTTTTAATCACATTTTTTATAAACCGACTATTTATAATTAATTTATGTTTGATCATATTTACCCAAAAGGAAAATTTATCAGATGATATGTGATATGATATAATCGATCTAGAAATCTGGAACAATTCTATTACCGAATATAAATTATAATGTGATTACACGCTACATTTTGTCTTCCTTTCAGAGTTTTATTAAAATATCTGTCTCGCCTTCCTCGGCATCGCGAGGACTAAAGTAAAGCTGCGAAGACATTGGTAAAGTTGACAAGCGACGCGACGAAGGGTGTACGCGGAAAACAGCACTTAGAGCAAAGTGGTTTCCGCGCGCGAAGCAACTTTACTCTCGTAATTTCTTTTCGCTTACTTTCAACAGTGCGGCTTTACGAGGTTGGCTATCGCAAATCTCGGAAAGCGTCCTTTTAAGTTTCCCGTAACCTCGAACGCCACCGAAATTAGATTTGTATAAAAGTCACGTCGGAAAATAGCGAACCAGGAGAAAGGAAAGTGCGTTTCGCACTCTCAAGCAAGATAAAGATATTTTCGAGATCACGGCGTATGTTTACAAATCACAAATTTTGGCTAGATTTACACAGAAATGTTAATTTTGTAATGGATGCGGTTTTTTTTTTTTTTAATTGGGTCGAGTGCATCGAGAATATTTGAGACTGAATATACGAGAGCGACGACAACGTTAGAGATGGTTGGCAATCGATCGATCAATCAATTCAACAATCAGTCAATCCATCATCAATCAGAGGTCGGAGAATGAGTGATATCGTGTTACCGGGGAGCCCATTGAAGGCTCATCGGAGTAGTTGTCATCGGTAGTAGCACTGAGGAGTACCTTTTCCATTTTGCTGAGGTGCAAAGCGTACTTGTCATGCGCCCGAAATTGCATGAAACGCATATTGCTCGACTGGGATAGTTCCGTTATGCTCTTTATGCTCGGGAAGAATCTGTAGAAAAAGTGAAAAACAAGAGTTACAAGTGAATTGTAATTCTGCAACTTTTTATCGATTATCCTCGCGTAAATATATTTATTCTTATATTATGAAAATTACCACCAATCTCGACAATTTTATTTCCTTCTCAATTTTTATTTAAATTTTCTCTTTTCCGTAATAATTTTTAAATTTTGCAATTTTATATTGTAAAAATTAGACCTAATTTTGAAAATATTATAGATGTAAAAATATCAAATAATTTGTACATTTGAATATTAATACGTACGCAATTTTTTTAAAGTGCGCATAACTTTTCAAACTGAGAAATCATATATGTTTATGCCAACAGCAATAAATACAGCCGAGATTCGAGCTTTAGATTTGTGGTCGAAGTACTTCCTATCAGATAAATTCTATAACAAATGTAGACACTCACTTAAACATAGTTTGCACCGCAACTATCGTGTTACAATCAGCTAGGGTGTCCTCCTCGGCGGAATTGTTGAGTTCCTTGTTTACGACCACGACGTTCTCCGCCAAAGTAATACCTGCCCGAAGGAGGTCGTCCAAGCAGTCGATGGAGCCGCGCATCCAATAAACCAGCGGAAAGTAGGACACCGCATCGAGAAACGCGATTTCCGGTTTTCTCTCCAGCAAAAGGATGATCGGATTCAATGACGTTTTCGACCTGGGAAACACTCCTGGCTCGTTAATTGTTCACGAAGCCTATTCACATCCGCGTCGATCACTTCTAATTAGCGATACAGGATAATTTCAGTAGAAAAGAATATATTCTGTTATTGTATAATTCTTCGTCTTTAAAGTTATACGTCTTTTAAATTTTAAAGTAAAAAGTATTTTATTAAAATTAATTATTTTTTTTATTTTTATTAAAATTAATTATTTATTAAAAAAATGTAACGAGTATAAATAGCATTTCATGGAAACGTATTGAAATAATAAATTTTTAAATTTAGTTTTAAGCGGCTTTAAGATTTTATTATACAGTTAAGGGAATATTTGAAATGTTTTAAAAATGATCGGATATTTTTTAATTAATGGAAAACGTTAAATGAATGTATGTATGAAGTACGGATGTAGATATTTAAAAAGTAATACTAAAATTATTTATATAATAATCTTATTTAAACAATAATCATATTTTTTTATAGAACTAAAAATAATTAGTAATAGTAAAATATAACATAACATTATAAATGATGATATATAACATTATAAATGATCAGGCTTCTATTTATCTTGTGCGAGTGTAATTTTGCAAAATTAAATAAACACTTCAAGTTAAAAAAAATACATATTAAAATATTAATAATAATGCGTAATAAGTACCTAAAATGTGCTCTTAATGGTATTATAAAGTTATAAATCCCATTGCTTGCATAATCGGCCGCCAATATGATGGTTTTATTTTGCCAATTGTATTCTTTGGCGTTCCTATAGCTGCAATGCTGGCATACCTAAATCAAAAAAAGGAAAAAGATCGAGTATCGAGAGACAAAGAGAAAAAGAGAATGGACGATATCTTATTTTAAATTTTTATACGATTCAATTTTATTTTCTAAAGATATACCTGAGCCAGTTGAAGGCAACAGAGCGGCTTTTTCTCCTTGAGAAGATAACACAAGGTCGGCGAAACTCCAATGAAGGGTGAAACCGGCGGGAATCCCTTGACAATCCTGCAACATCGTTGAAACTTGATTATCCCATCCCGACACTTTTACGTGTGCTAGATTTTGATGCCGTGCTTCTTATTAAAGAAACGTCGCACGGGAGGAACCAAGTGATAACGCGGTTGCTTGAGAAGGCGCCTCGTCAGCTGGCGCATGATTGAAACTGTCGCTCGTATTTTTGGCGGGATTAAATCAAAATTGAATTGATTTTATCATCTTTTTTGTTAGCCATAATATATAAATGAGCGACAGATATTTTAGAACTCGCAAGAACGCGTTGATATATGTCAAAGATATACTCTTCATAGGAAGCTTAACTCTCGAATGTCATTTACCGATTAGAGCTCCCTGAAAGTCGAAGATTTGGATTTCTTGAAAAAGATGAAAGAGGGAACAAGTCGCTTTACACCATTCTCGTGATCGTCACGTCATGAAATCCAAGCGGTGGATAATATTTGATAGCAGGATATTATGCCTGACCGGAAGCACTTATCGCACTCATAATGCCGTTGTTCGTAAATTATATCCTTAAGTAATTTATATTTGCGATTAATATCGAGCTACAAAATTTTATGACATAATTGATGGTGTTCACGAAGGTTTCGATATAAAATTTTTATATATATTTTTAGTCACTGATTTATTTTTGAAATAATCGCGAAAATTACTTATTATATTATCCGCTACTGAGAATTTATTGTGTTTATTTATTTTCTTAATGTTTTGTAAATTAAACACATTTAATCTCGATTTACATATTTAATCTCGATGTATAAATTACATGCATAATTAATGAATAATTAGTATATCGATGACAAAAGAAGTTTACATTTAATTTAAATCGATTTGTTTGTTTTTGTTGGAAAATCACGTATATCAATAACATATTGCGTAAATATCACAATTAGGAAGATTATCGAGATGGGCTGCTATTTCCGATAGATATTTACATCGAAACCACTTAGCAAACTTCTAGTTTAGCTAAGACATGTACTATATGTTATAATAAGTAAATTAATATCGAGATAAATAAACTAGGTTTTAATGAGATCAATCAAGCAAATCAAATTGAGAGAGATGTGTAGAAGCGTAAAACGAGAGACTCACCCTTTGAAGCTGCTGGACGGAAGTCGTGCGACAAGACGGCAGTGCACAAGGACGATGCAAGAAGGAAGACATCGAAAACATCCATGAGGACATATAGGGTGTCAGGCAGGACAGCATCGAGCAGCGATTCAACGGCACCGTCCGGTGCCGTTAGTGAAACAGGCATCGAGAGACATTGAGACAGGACACATCGACCATTGACTTGCACGATTATACTTAAATGATTAAAGATGGATGAACATTTTGCGGTGGTTCAAAGTGGATTCGCGTCCAAATGAGAAACGTTTAACGGCTCATTTATTGTGTTCGATTCTCCATGTCATGGTTCTCAGAGAGATAAGCCCAGAAAAAAACATACAAATCAAATACAATATAATAAAAAGAAATTTATAGCCTATCTTTTATTCTACAATACTTTGCTCTATGCTGCTTAAAGTTACATTCGAGAAAAATTTTTTTATCTATAGAGATTTATCAGAGATTGTACTTGTATTACTAACTATATAAGCATAGCACTAATCTACTTAAGTAGAATAAAAGAATAAAAGAGTAGAATAAATTTTTAGTAGAATAAAAAAATAAAAGAGTAAAATAAAATTCTAGTAGAATAAAAAGAATATTAGAAATATATATGTAAAATTTTTCATTATTTATGCAAAATATTCTAGAAGCCGCGTGCTTTATCTATACAAGAATGATTAAACATTAAATTAGGAGAAAGAGCGTTTTTTCTATTTTTGATATGTAAATTAAATATATAAATTGAAAAATTAGATATATAAATTGAAATTTATATATGATAAAAATTAAACTAGTTTTTAGCTAATTTTGAGTAAATTTTAACAAGAAATTTAATACGAAATTTAATATAATCAAGTTTAATTAAAATTAAATATTAAGAAACTTTCCATGACTCTTCTGGAATATTTTGTAGATATGAAAAGATATTAAAATTTGCTCTAGAGTTTTTGTATTATAATTTACAATATATTGAAAAATAGCAATAGTTTATATTTTAATAAAGTTTTAATGATTTATTATTATAAATAAAAAATGGTAATTTAAAATGGATAAATTAGGTCAAGGAAGAATAGAGGCAAGAGATCATTAATAATAAGATAATTATGCATGAAACGTTACGCGTTCTTTTGAGTGTCATTTAAAATATATTTTATTTTTGTGCGCCAAAAATGTTTTCAATTAAGAGAGATCTGAATAGAATATATTATTCGATTTAATTTCAGTAAATTAAAAGGATAATTAATTTCATGTAAAACTTCAAATTAAAACTAATGGGAATTAAAATGTATTTTTAATTGCAGCTATTTTCGCTCGTTAGAATAAAGACTCGAAGGATATAAAGTATAGACTGTTACAACACTCATGCTGCTCACGAACTAACGTTGTTCTACTGACGAAACAATGATGGTGTCGAGAGCATCCGAGATAAAGATAAAAGTACATCGTGGGAGGCGCGAACGCGCATGATGCATACTCGCGTAACTCACTCGCATAAGTCTCTTCCGATGTCACACACAATCAACGATACGATCGCGATCGTGGCTCTCCTGACGTGCGTCAGCGCGTTTTAGCGCTAACAACATCATTAAATTAAAAGCGCGCCCGTACTATCTTTCAGAAAGACATGAATGGCCTCGTCTTTGGCTTGCGAAGGCATTTTTGCAAAGTTTCATGATAACGCGCGACGTAAAAATTAGAGAAATAATTTAAAAAAGATTAAAAATTGACAAAAATTAACTGATAAACTTTAGATAAAATTAACTGATAAACTTTAGAGTTAATAAAAAAGAAAATTTCAAATCGACAAATAAGATATGCTATGTCGTTTTAATAAATTTCACTTGTTCCAGTTTAATGAAAATGTAGATATTTTTTATAATAAATACGGAAAGAGATCGCTTTTACTGTCGTTTTTTTTTTTTCGCTAACAGCGCACCTTTGAAGTACCCGGAGATCGAGTTCAAGGCCGGAAAATAAAATTTCAAAAGTTAATAATTTAATTTACACGTGTGCGCACATGTGTTTAAACCAGAGGGATATTGATATATGTGATAAAAGTGCATAAAAATTATATCAGAGATATCACACAAAGAACTAAAATAATTGCATAATAAAAATTCCACTGAGAATGAGTCGCTCAAAAAGTCGCTTCAAAATCTCTGTCGAATTTAATTTCTGACCTACCTATACGATAATAAGATGCTGAATTATTTTTTAAATTTGTGGTTTCGACACAAAAAATTTATATATGAATCAAAAAACTAATTTATTATTAGATAATAAGAATGCATATAAATTAAGAGAAAAAGACAAACGGTTTGTAGATTTAATTATGTTTATATGTCTAATAATTAATTGTGTAATTCTTTTTTCTTTTTTTTAATATCATTCTTGAAATTTTAAAATCTATCCTAAGTTCTCTTTAGACTTTGCGATTATTGTGCAAATATAAAAAATATAAAAAACATACAATAAATGCTTATATAAAAAATGCACATAAACAAATTTGATGCTTAAGATCGTGTCATGCAGGTGCACGAGATAATAAAGTGCGAAATCGTTTTTTCTTAGAGAATTTTGCGAATTGTGCTAGAAAAATCGTTCATAACAAATATTAAACAAATCGGAAGAAGAGAAAAAAGTGGGCAATAAAAATTTCGATCAATAATTTTTCCTTTGCTTCTCTTCCAAAGTAAATATATAGATTGATTTTTCTCATAGCAATGTTGTTCTTCGTGCTGCATTGATTGTCAAGGACTGCTGTCGTGATATCTCCAAAGATCCCCTTGAACGTAATACATATCACGAGGAAGGAAAAAGCATACTTACGCGATTTTCTCGCTTGGCGATCTCCAGGGGACATCGTCATCCATTTCGTCCTCTGACTCGTCACCGTCGTGGTCCAAGGATTCTTGACCAGGCAAATGCAGCGTCGAGCTAGTCAGCATGTCTGGTACTGGTAGAATACTCGGCCTTCTACTTCCTGATTGCAAATAAATAATTATTTTATTAATCATTGATGCTCTTATAAAATTTAACATAATATTATTTCATTATTATTATAATATTAAAGAAGATTTTATTCTTGCGTCGAAATATTTCGGAATAATAAACATATTTAAATTGATTTAACTGAATCAGTTGAGTTAATTTTTTATAAAAATTTAAACTGCAGTATTGCTATAAAAGTATTTAATATTGAAAACTATATAGCTTTTATATTTTAAGGATAATTAATTTATCAGAAAAATTCAAAGACATAAATTAAATAATTAAACATGTGTATGTGTGTGGATGCGTGCATGCGTGCGTGCGTGCGTGCATGCAAATGTGTGTGTATGTCTTTCAGTTATATTCAAAAACATCTTTTTTGCGAGAAAATGATAATTTAAATTTTACAAAATATAATTATTATGAATTAGTAATTAATATATAATTATAAATTTAAATATTATTAAAAAAATGACGCATATCAAATTATATTTAACAAGAAAAAAATTTTCTTATTTTCATATTTATTGTAGAATATATTTTTAAAATTTTAATATATGAATAAAGCACAAATAATACAAAATATTTGATAAAAACGAGTATATTTTATAGAAATTTAAATGTACTTAAAAATTTTTTTTAAATTGCATTTTGAATAACTTTATTTACACTAAAATATTTGTATTTTATTCTATTCGCCAACTTGAAATAAAGAAGTAATTTATCGATAATTTAAGGTAGGTATTTTAATTTTGTAATATTACATATATATATATATATATATATATATATATATATATAACATATACACATAAACGTATAATATACATTAACACATAATGAAAAATGGTGAAAAGAATAATCATATCTATTTGTAGGAACAACTTTCTCAAAGTCGGAAAAAACTAGTTACTAAAAGTGCTTTAAACTACTATACACACGGCAAAAGTGTGTCAAATGCAAGACATAGTACTTTCAACAAAATTATGTCACAGCAGATAATATCCTTTAAACTTTACGTAACCTTTAAGCGAGTTTTATTTTCACGCGCATTCAACTAAAATCTCCATTGCAAAATTTCGTAATTTTAAAAGATATAACGTCCCGAAGAATCGTCATAAAGAAACTAAATTTTCAGAAAATAATGAACTACAAATGACATCGCAGAGATTAATTAATAAATTAATAAATAAATTAATAAAACTTTATATTTTCATAACTTTTATTTGTTTACTTTTAGCGTAGAAAGAATAGGATTAATATTTGTAATATTTATTTAATTAAAAGTACATAATTTAATTAAATTTTTGACAATAAAAAATAAACAACTGACCTCTTCTTTGAGTTAGAATTTCTGGACTCAGTAGATTAGGATTCGGATCAAGAGATCGTGGCACGTCAAGGTGATTACCCGTGATTGGTGTTTGTGGCGATGATCCTCCCTCTTTCAAGCATTGCCTCGAGTCGCCGAATCCTCCAGGATCGAGATAAGTCGCTATAACATATAAAGTCGATCGCAATTAGTGATTCTAATATTAAGATTCAATTTTTAATATTCAATGGCGCTACAAAGTTGCAATTTACTGTAAAGAAAAACATCTCTATAATCGATAAATATGAATGAAAAATGTAACCATTTGGGTGGGAAGCAAAAAGAAAAGAAAACAATTTTGCATTACTAGGAAAAGAAATAATGTCAAACTATATTTTGTCTTTTAATCTACAAATAAAAAATTGCTATTAGAAATAGCAATTTTCCGAACATTCATACCACATGTAATTTATATAAGATGTATGATAACATGAAAGAACAACATTTCACGTTTAATATGAAATAATACTATCTAATTAATATTCACGTATTTTTTAACTCTTATTAATTTTTCTGCATATTTAATATAATAATTTGCATTTCTGCAAAAATTTTTAAAACCTATAACAATAATTATTATATTATTCTCTAATAAAAACTTAGACTGAAAAATCTTGTTAATAAAGCATATTTATTTTTAATTAACTAAAAAATGCGTTTTAATAATTCCTCGAGAATTTGCTTTTAATTTCATTGACGTTTTAATTTGACTTTTCTCTATTTTATTTTTATTCAGTTGAATTTTTGAAATATATTCTAGTCACTTTTTAACACATTGAAAATAAATATCATTTATTCCCTGTTTAATCCGCAACTTTTTCTACGATCGAAATCTATACGGTAATTTAATTCAAATTCTAAGCATAAATACGCAATGAAGCGAGCAGGAAAGCATATTTACTAGGTAGCCTCGTAGCTTTTTATTCAGCCTCACAGCTTTCTATTCAACCACGCTTATCGAGGGTCATTAATGACGAATGCTGAATGGTGCATAAACAGTAGCATATATAGTAGTTCACGTATAGCGACGTGCAAGCACAAAACCATGCCGCAAAAGACATGAAAAAGGAAGGAACGTTTTGGCATTTTGGACGGCTTATCTGCAGTCAATACTGTACATCGAGACTTTATTGCGCGTGTGTTCAATACGTGCTACTCTATCTTCAATCTCTTCCATTTAATCTTACTTTATAATGTGATGGTACAATGTATGAAACTATGCAGTGACGTTGAAACAACTTTGTCAAACTAATTGCAAAGGTATTTCAAGATCGCAGAATTATTTGAGTAATTATAATCTCAATATCTTTCTCTTAATTAGAGATTCTGCGTTAGATTAAATTATTTAACGATATAATTAATAATAAGATAATAATAAGATAATATTAAATTATTTAATGATAAACAATAAGATAATATTAAATTATTTAACGATAAATTCTCAAATGAAATTCCTTTGGTAATCCATAAATTTTATAAACAGAAATTTACTACCCCAAAAATACGAAATTATAACATGCGTGAAATTAATTAAATTTTAAATTAAAAGAGATAAAATTAACGATTTATAAATTGCGCTAAAAATTACCATCGTTCCTTCTTTTTCTAAAAACAATGCTTATCACATTATTTCACTAATTACTTTAATCTTGCATTTATAGCTAGAAAGCATCGTGTCTTATGTATGTGTACATGTTTGTCGCAATAAATTTAAACATTTAACAAATATAAGCGTTATAAACAACTTTTTAAGCAGTGCTATTTACTAGTGCGATAAAAATTAATCTAATAAAAAACATTTATATATTAAGTTGATACCAATTAAGATCGGGTGCTTATTTTGAATTATTAACCCTTTGTGCTCAGTAGTTTCACTCTAACATCCTTTTGCTCCAAAATCTCGGTTTTCGCGCTGTGGCAACTTCATTTAGGAATCTCCAAAGAATATCAATTCGAAGTGAACATACTGGCTTCCAAAGAGCTAAAATTTTTCAGTTCCGTAAATACAAAAGTCAAATTTGATATTAAAATACACCAACTAAGCCTGAACAGATCGCGCAAAGAACTATCAGGTACGCGTTTATGAATACTTTGCACTACGTTTTTCTTAAGATCAAGGTTTCTAGATTTTTAATCTCGAGAGCATGTTCGATCTACGCAAGTAATTTCAACTCGTAATTATTGAAACGGCGCGATCTCACAGACTAATAATACCGTGCTGAATTGACGTAAGAGAAGAGAAAAATGTAAGAAGAAGAGAAAGAGAAGATATAATAAAAAAGAAGAGAAAGCAGCGCGGCGCATGCGACACTCACGGTGGACATCGGATGCGAGTAAGTTGTGGTGTTGGATTGGTGTGGGCGTGCTAGGGAGGACCTGCAAAATAACCTGCGGCGGCAACGGGGCCCTGTGAGCCTGAGGACCGTTCTGAGGCCGGTCCTGTGCACGGGGCCCCGTGCAGGTCTCCTGCCTGCGTAGTGTTTCGCTCAGCGCAACGTTATAACTGTTGGAAAATCGCATCTGGTGCGCATCGGCACCGTTGCTGATTGCTGTACCATTCCCGTCGCCGCCGCCACCTACGGGGCAGCTAGTCGATATTGTCGTTGTAGTGGTGGTGGTGGTCGTCGTCGCCGACGTCGCCCCCGAATTCATGGTCGCCGTCGTCGTGTTGGTCGTCGTCGTGTTCGTCGTCGACCCGTTGCTCGCGGACGTCGCGTCCGTCTTGGTCTCGATGATCACCTGCGTCCCCTCGCCGACGATGCCGCTCTGATTATTCGCGACCACGAACGCGGAATTCTCCTCCTTCGTGATGCTCATGTAGTAACAAGTATCTGTCTTTTTCATTATATGCCGCGGGCCTGCGCATAAAATTCACGAATTTGGCCTCTTGTTTCGTAAAATATTCATTGGAAAAGCTTTTTTTTTCATTTTTTTAGCTTCTCTCTAAAAGTGAATCAGAGAAAATATCACTAATTTAAACGATAAAATAAGATTTCACTGAGAATCAGTGAGTATTTTACTGATCTTCAGTGGAAACGCGTTATTTTATCTTATATCTTATTGATTATGGTCAGTTAAAATAAAATTCACTATAAAATCAGTAAATTTCACTGTAAAACCAGTAGTCGCTAGTTCGTTCGTTTAACTCTACGATCTCTCTCGTATTTAGTTTTAGTCATAAGAATTATATAAAGTTTGCAAAGAGCGACAGATAAGATTAGAAGTATATCTTAATAGAGAAGTTTCAGATATTAAATCGATCTTATATAGTCGGACAAATATCTGACGACTTAATGAAAATTATGAAGAGATGAATTATAGTTTAATATTACTGACGATAACGAAAGAAATATTACTGATTGAAACAGTCAAAATTATTGACTGATTCTTTCAATAAAATATTACTGATTTACAGTGCTGTACTTATAACTGCTGCAATCAGTGACTATTTACTATTTTTCAGTGATAATGCACTGATTCACTTTTAAAGAGTACAATATTCTATTTTCTAATTTCTTAACTGCTACGATATTTTTAATTCTTCCCGTATTTACAAATTTTTATTACTAATTGTTTCTCAGAATATAATCTCTGTTTTGTAGGAATAAATTATTTTTATTTATTTCTCTCAATTAAATTAAATTAAATTAAATTATTTTTATTTATTTCAATCAATTTAAATTAAATTAAATTATTTTTATTCATTTAATCAAAATCAAATCACACATTTATGTTGCGTAAATAATGCATAAATAGAAAGTTTACTGATACAATACATAATGCAACAAGTTGATAAAAAATATAATATACTCTCTAAAAGTGAATCAGTGTATTATCACTGAAAAATAGTAAATGGTCACTGATTACAGCAGTTATAAATACAGCACTGTAAATCAGTGATATTTTATTGAAAGAATCAGTTAATAATTTTGACTGTTTCAATCAGTAATATTTCTCAATATTAGTAATATTTCTTTCTATCGTTAGTAATATTAAACTATAATTCATCTCTTCATAATTTTCATTAAGTCGTCAGACATTTATTTGTCCGACTTATATAAGATCGATTTAATACCTGAAGCCTCTCTATTGAGATTGTATCAGAAATTAAATCGAAGTAATACTTTTAATTTTATCTGTCGCTCTTTTCAAACTTTATATAATTCTTGTGACTAAAACTAAATAAGAGAGAGATAGCGGTAAACGAACGAACTAGCGACTACTGGTTTTACAGTGAAATTTATTGGTTTTACAGTAAATTTTATTTTAACTGATCATAATCAGTGAGATATAAGATAAAATAAGCGTTTCTACTGAAAATCAGTAAAATACTCACTGATTCTCAGTAAAATCTTATTTTACCGTTTAAATTAGTGATATTTTCACTGATTCACTTTTAGAGAGTAAAATACAAAATTTAAATTTCAAAAATCTTACTTTATTTATTCAAGAAATAAAAAATTAGAAAATTTCAAAAACATAAAAAAGAGAGACAAAGAGAAAGAAAAATGAAGGGGTCACCGATAGTGTCGCAAAATTACCAGGATTCAGCAGAATGGTATCTTCGTAAAATTCCGGAAGTTCCGCCGGCCTGACCGCAACAAGGGCAACTCCGTATTTCCGGTGACTGTGGAAGGATGCGTATGTGAAGGATTTTCCCTCGTACTCCCCGAAAAAGCGGGAGTCGCCGAGAATTATGTGATAAATCTCGTTGCCGGAACATTTACCGTATAGTCTGTGCCACTCTTCCTGCGATTGTTGACCTTCTCTACGAGGAGGAAAATTCCAATTCAAAATTCTCCCATCTTCGTGCACGACGCACGATGCAATATCGATGTAATTACGCGGAGTAATAGCAAAAATAATGGACTCTTTACTGCATTATATTAATCGAATATTATAATCCCATACACACAAATTTTAGAAAATTTATTATTAACAATAGAATAAATTTCGCTTGAAATATTCATAAATTAAAATTAATATAAATTAAAATTAATATTAATATTTATATAAATTAAAATTAATATTTAGATAAATTAATTAAAAATTAAATACACGTTTGAAATGTAGAAATAATCCACATGTGTTATGAAAATACATAGTTTTTAAACAAGAATTTAATATAATATCAACGTAGTTCAATCTATTGTATAATTATGCTCTAAAATAGATCGTGAATAGAACTTACTGTCCTCTGGACGTGTGCAACAGCAGGGTGACTAACGTGGATGCACCGGGACACGTGCAATTGTTTGCCAATAGAGCGTACTTAAATTCATCCTCGCACACCACGTGCTCCGCAAACTTCACGTGGAGCTTGTTTTCCGGACGGAAGATTTGAACGTACTGAGGGACATTGGGCGCAAAATCTTTCACTGCCCACGATCTATAATGTAATCAAATCAAAATCTCTTAAAATTGCGCGGGTAAAAAACACGCGCTTGAATTTGTCAGATATTTATTTCTGTTAAATTAATTATATAAAATAAACATTTATTTTTTGAATTCTTGAAGTGTTATATAAATAATCTATTTATATTCTATAAGTGTTTATCAAAAAAAGTTTCTGAAAAGTTTCACTCAAGAGAGAGATGCACTAAGGATTTTTTAAATTTTTTTTTTTCTGCAGTTTCTTTTTACTTTAATATTCAAGATACTTAATTATTATTAAACTGTTTTTAAAAATAAAAAAATTTAAACCGTTACAATTAACGAGGAATCAAGATCTTCTATTTGCATTTTGAAGTAAAACCTAAACGATGTCTTCGTGAAATAGATTATCAGAAAAAATATTAGCCTCAACATTTACTTCCTGTGAAAGAGAAGATTTAGGCGGCAAAATGATAATGGCCAAATCGAATTTCCAATGGTTAGAGAAGCGTAGGAAATTTAAATTTAAACATTTTCACCGATCGCTGACCTCAGTATCGTGTGCTCGTCAGCAGCGGTCTTGTCGGCATAATTTCTCGCTGCTAACACGAAGCAGGCTTCCGCCTCGTTCATTCTCGCTCTCGCGAGATCGCCGTCCTTCAAGCACGAGCCCTGAATGTAAATTACCCTCTGTGCCCAGATCGGCACTTGCAAGATCATTCGCATCGTAGTATCAAGTTCCATCGGTGACAAAAGAACTACATAATAATCCTGTTGCATAATAGTCACATTTAGGTCATCATCAAATGTTAAAAATATTAAAAATAGCAAAATAAGTAAGAATAAATGCATGTATGTAATGCAATCAAATTAAGAATATAATAATAATAATAATAATAATAATAATAATAATTTTGTATTACTTGTCCTTCAAAAATGTAATGTATGCCGTAAATTTTCATAAATACACGAAGATAATAGATATATACTTGTTGCATATTTATATTTTTAATTAACCATATAAAAAAATCAAGATTAAAATTATTATTTTGATAAGTAACAATTCTATTTGTGATCTCATTCTACCAGATTGGTGATTTTTAGATTGTGTTACCTATGACATTAAGTTGAAGTTTAATGATATTTTAAAATTAAATGCCTCATTAATTTCAATTGATGATAAATCGGAAGTTGAAAAAAGATTTTTATGAAATCACAAGTTGGTGTAAAGTGAAATATTCATAGGAGTGTAATTCGTTCATCGTCTGACCTGCAGCAAAGGGTGGGCGTAAAACTCATTTAGAAAGTCCATGATAGTGTCGGCTTGCAACGTCGTACTGCAAACTACAACGTGCTTCTCGCTCTGCGCTCTGTGCGAAGAATACGAGCCGCCCAGCTTCTGACGTTCCATCCACGTGAAAGCTAATTGTTCGAACTGCAATCAATATGAAATAATGATTATTTGCTACTGCAATCAGCTAATATGTCTGAACCATAATGAGGAAAAAAAACGAAACAGAAAATCTCGATATTCAGCCCATTTATGAAATTAACAGATAAATAAAATATCTGTGAAAATATTATTAATTTTAAATAACTGATTTTAAATAATTAATTAAATAATTAATTTTAAATGACTGATTTTAAATATAAATAATTTTATTTATAATATTTCACACAATATTATAAATTATTTTTTATTGATAAATTTGTAGAAGCTTCAGAGAAAAATAAAAAAGCTTTTCTTCATATTTTTTTTCTTTTATTATGTATTATTTTCAAATTATGTCTTATTTCAGAAATATGTTAAATGTAAATTTAATATATAATTAATATAATACATAATTATCTCTTGATTATAAATACATTAAACATCTTAGTGCAACATATTACATATGTATTCGTTTAAATAGTTTTTACTTGCAAATTTTAAAAATTGCTCTCATTAAATTTTATCACTTAAAGATTAATGAAACTAAATAATTATAATTCCTTTCCTACAGAGAATACAAATTTGCAAATGTTAAATTGTCTTTAACACGTCTCTGTTATCTCGTCAAGTACGGCATTTCCATCATCTAAAATCGGAATTTAATCGAATACGGAAGTGCAAGGGACAGACGTAAAGAGAAGGAGGATTGACACATCGTGTTGACCTGTACGAATTGGTACGTATCTCGTATGCGATTGGCAGGCAATTTGACAGATAAATTACAGCGATCACGAGGCTTTCCACGTTAAGCGCTGCGCAATCAGTTGACGCCAATAGACAATGAGTAGACACGAGTTGCCCTTGTCGCTTTGTGCAATTAATATTATTCGATTGAATTCTCATTAAGCATTAAAACAATTCAATCATTAATCTTTAGATATTTAACTATCCGTGATTGCTTTACGCTTGTTTCTTTAAATTGTTCTCTGAGAGTTTTTATATATTAAAAAAATTTTATTTATCAAAAGGAAAAAATCTTTGAGTGATAAGATTATAATATTCGAATGAATTGTATTCAAACGAATTTTAAAAGGAAACAAAAGGAAAAAATATTTTAGTGATAAGATTATAATATCTATCCACGATATTCTTCTTTTTTTTACAATTACACAAAGAGACAGAAATTTTCTTGATGCATTATTATTGTCTGGTTACATTAAAAATAAAAGTGTTATAGCTTAGAAGCCAGATAGAATAATAAATATTCGTAAAACGGCGAGGGTCAACCAAGGGACAATATGGCCAGTAAAAAGAGTCTCGTTTTGGTACGTTTATGAGCTACCTTACGGCATGATCTAAAATAACGCCTATAAAAAAAGTCTATGAGACGAACATCACTGAAACGATTACGACTGACTCGCTAACGAGATTAAACAAGATGAACACAAGTTTAGAATAATATTAAGAATAATGTATATGTTGACGCGAATTTTGTAACATAAGTTACATAGTATTTTTTTAAATATATAATTCCTTAAGAATATAATTTATTAATAAGAATATAATTTATTAATAAAATTATGATTAAATAGAATTTTTTAAATATATAATTCCTTAAGAATATAATTTATTAATAAAATTATGATTAAATTAGAATATAATTTATTAATAAAATTATGACAAGTATATCACTTATAAATTTTTTTTCTAAATTTTGAATTATTTTTCAGAATTACGATATATGTATATCATTTATATATATTATACAATTGCACAAAAAATCTTTATTATATTTTTAAATTATTAAAACACACTACACGAGCGTTCTTCATATTTTAGTTTTTATTATTTTAATTATAGAAATAATATATACTATATATATAAACATTAAGACCTATAATAATTAGTTAAATAACATTTTCAATTTAATAATATTTAATTTAAAATTAAATAATATTTTTCTGAATAGTAAATGTATAAAAAATCACACGATTATTACATACAGAAATATTTTATTTTAAATACTTGTCATCAAGCACATGATATCAAGTAGTATATTAAATTTTTAAACACATTCTACTACTAAAATTTCTGATACTTTTATTTGAATAATCTTAATTGTTTAATATTTTACAAATAAGATAAGTAACCCGCCGCGAGGCAATTTAATTGGTATGCGTTTGGCGCCGAAAACAATATAAAATTTAATTCACATACAATATAGCAATATATAATTTAATTGTCTCAGATCTGTCACTTAAAAAAATTTTTAATCTAATTTAATAATAAACGTAAAAATAAACGTAAAAATTAGAAAACTTGAAACCTGAGAGATTTTAGTCTGGTACATATAACAAACTGATGATTCTTTTTATCAATTCATTCGTTTTTAAAAATGCATACGTACCTGCGTAGGTAATACTATGAGCGCCACACAGATCATGATGACCATGTAAAGTTGCGAAGGCCAAATGTCCGGCACGAAATCTCCATAGCCCACCGTGGAAAATGTCACTACGACATAATATGTGCTTTGAAATAGGTTCAAATGTCTGTGCCCCGCTCTTTGGAAGTGCTGGATCCCGCATACGCTGAAACAGAAAATTCATTGGATCATTTACGATTAATTAGATAATAACCACGAGAATGTATAGGAATACAGTTATAGTTATTTTGCATGCGCTTAGCATAAATCTACATCGTCTACAGCTATATCGCTGGATTGCAGCTAACGTAAATTCACGGTTTCTGTAGTCATGGCGCACTGCAGGTGATGTAGCCTGTATTAAATTGTAAGCCGTTGAGAATCGATTATCACTTTCCAGGTAGAACATGATATCGTATAAACGTTAATTTAGGATATTAATGATTTCAAGAACCTTTTTTTATTGTTCATAATTGCACGTTCTAAATTCTAAAAAGCTAAATTTTATTATTTCAATATGAATGTTTCAAGATTTTTATATTTGTCTTCCTTCTTCTTTCGACTCTTCTCTTTTTTATCAACTTTGAATAATATGCATGTGTCTCTTTATTTTCTGGTATTTATTTAATTAAAATGTAATATTTATTTTACTGTAACTCTCCAATATTAAAAGATTTTGTGTTTATTATTTTCTACTATACAGTGTGCAGCTTGTAGAAAAGCGATATATTTAATTAAAATGTGTGTATGTGTACAGAGTAATAATATATATGGAGATTTCAAAAAGTAATTTTTAAAATTGTGTAAATAAAAAACCTAAAACTTTCATTACTATAAAAAATTATTATAAAGAAATATGGAAAATTCTTATTTCTAATATTTTAAATCATCTTTAATTATATAATGCTTTTTATACATTTCCTAATTATATAATTCATATATATATGTACATTATAATTGAACACATCTTGATAGACATTGATTACATTTAAACAAAAAGAGAAAAGAAAAAAAAAGAGAAAAAAAAATAATTGCGCGTTATTATAACGCATTACTACGTGTACTTTTTTCTGCCTTCATCACTATTATTCGAGCAATTATTCCGTAAGTGATCATTGAATTAGTTATTTAATTATTAATTTTGATTGCTTAAATTGTTTAAATTGTTAAATTTGATTGCTTTTATATCTGATGATTTTAAAATCGATAAACAAAAATATTTAATAATTTAATATTTAAATATTTTCCTCTTTATCAGCTTAATTATCGCATCGACTCGATAAATTTGCAAAAACTACTTGAAATTATCGTAATAAACTACTGCATTTAATATGTCCAACGTCGATTTTCAATCTGAATGAAGAAATTTGCGTTGCTCGACGCGAAAGAGAGTCTCCTTTCCTTTCATCGTGATTTTTCATTCGGAGCCTCTTGTCGTAACGAGACGAATTCACAATTAGTTGGACCATTCAAAGCAAGATAAAGCGCCACCCGCGTCCTTTGATCGTAAGGAAATTGATGTAATGGCGCAAGAACAGGAAGAGATTGAATCCGTGAGTTGTGAGAGAAAACCGCTACCAAGTATACCGGACGGTGTTTAAATGGCTGATATCCATTATGCATGCGGCCTCGTTTCTATATCTATATTGATGTGTATATTTGTGCACCTTGTTCATTTTTCCTCTCTCCTTCTATATCCTCTATATTCGTCTGCGCCATCCCATCATGTTTCCGTTCGACATATCGTGATAGTCGAGCATACCTCATCGCAGGTTAATTAACAATAAAGAGACCTAAAGCGTTGATATATGTATATATACGAGTTTATATATACGAGTACTATAAATACGCAGAATATTTTTTGTTGCAGATATATTTTATTGGCGATCAAATTAATCTTTGTCATTAATTTAAAAAAAAATTAATAATTAAATGTTAAAAATTAATAAATAATCATTTTACATGTATATTATAATCTTTACTATTTAACAATATATAAAAGCAGACAATTTTGTAACACCTACCATTGTAATATCTTATTTTTTTATTTGTCAAATTTTTATTAAATTATTGTAATTAAATAGTATAATACAGATCGAAGATAACAATATAAATTTTCATAAATTAAAAATAATGATATTTTTAAACATTATTATATATTTTTAATAAAAACAAAGAATTTCTATTTTTTAAAAGAATAAAAATTATTCGTAGAAATTCGTAGAAATTTAAATAAAATTTTGTGTTGATTAATTATGTTGAACTTATACAATTGCTCAAATAATGTTAAACTATTATAATATGCTCTTTTGAAATTTGTTTTATGTGATGAGATTACAGAAATGACGTGAAAAAGTATTACACTGATAGGAAAAAATAACGATTCTTTTATCTGCAAAGTCAGTTTGTCACGTTTTCTCATACGACAAGTAATAAAGTTATATGTTTTCGTGAAAATTTTTATTGTTTCCAATCTCCAAGTGTTGTTGTTTGTTAACAACGAATTTCGCTAACGAATTTTGTCCACATGTATATAACGGTTCCAATTCAATTGAACATTATTTCCCGGAAACAAATAACATATTCGAGATAGATTCTTCTCTATTCATTGAAAAGGATTGCTGAAAAAAATGCATATTTGAAAGCTTTTTGAACAAAACAAGATTTTAAATTTTATTCAAAGGATAAAATTTTAGAAGATCATTGAAAGATTTAATTTTTTTTAAATATTCAAAATATAAAATATCCAATAAATAAACGTATAGACAGTAAGTTGATTTAAAATAATAATGATAACAGCTTTTTGAACAAAACAAGATTTTAAATTTTATTCAAAGGATAAAATTTTAGAAGATCATTGAAAGATTTAATTTTTTTTTAATATTCAAAATATAAAATATCCAATAAATAAACGTATAGACAATAAGTTGATTTAAAATAATAATGATAATAACAGCAAAAATAATAAATTTAAATTTACAAAATAAGTTTAATTTGTTAGCTATTTTGCATTGACATTATAACAGAATAAGCCTCGAAATATGATAAAATATAACTTATTAAAATAAACATAATTTATTAAAGAATATAAACGTTAGTTGCGTAGAAGTGATCTGTTTGAAACTGGTGGATTAAGCTTGCAAATGCGATAGCATGCAATTGAACTTATATCGTGCATACTACGCATTTGCTGCACGAAAGTCAAATGACCTGTTCGACAATGGAGGCAATAATTAAACATTTTTAGCAAGAGAATTGCGTGAATCCCGTGACTACAGTCAGTAGAGTATATACGTACAGATAAAAATTTAAAAAATTAAATAAAAGAAAGTATAATATTTCTTTCAAAAATTTAAAAATTACTCTAATAAATAATATGAAAAACAAGAAGAACAATTTTCACCTCTTTACTTTCAAAATTAAATAAAAGAATTAATTCCAAATTAATTTAATTAATTTAAAAATTCCTCCAACAGATATTAATTTATTATTCAAGAATTATATTATGTCAAAGATAATTATATATATTAATATATTACCATAGATCATTATGCATATTAATATATTATGTCATAGATAAAAAGTATAATAATATTCAAGAGAGATTCTTTTCTTTTGATAAATAAAATGTTTAAATGTCTCTCCAACAAGTAAATAAAATGATAAATAAAATGTTTAAATGTCTCTCCAACAATCTCGTGGAACCTCTCAATTCGTTTTATTCCCTAGCTTCTTCGTATCTCAGCTTTAAGTGCGACGACTTTATTAGTTCACACCATGACGTAGATTCGCCGCATTCGTCGCATCACGCCGCACGATGCTCTACCCGCTCGTCCTTGTCGTAGATAACATAGCCGTGCAAGGGCGAGCTGGCAAGTGCGCCGCTCTAGAATCACACCGTAAATAATAAAGCGCCACGATCGATGATAATACCAATCCATCTGCACAAGCCAGTGCACGATTATTTATTAACATCTGTTCCACATTGTGATCTGGGTCGATCAGGTATATTTCGTCATTTTCTCGCTCTTTAACATTATAGGAGAATAGCTATTGGTCACAGTGACGTGTGGTTCAATCGCTTCTGTATGTTGAACTTGTGACAAATTGATTTTCCAAGACCTGTGCGCATTCCTTTAGTTTTAAAGAACGCATATCGCATGTTATATCTAGTAAAGACTTTAGATATTGACCACGTGAAGAAAGGAGAAATAAATAAAGATGATCAATTTGAATCAATCTTTTTTCCCTTATCTTTGATCAGATGAAGTCGTCAATATGTCCTATGTGTGTGATATTAATATAAAATTATTAATCAATTATTAACGCAAGGAAGCTTTAATTTATTCTATTATATATCTTAATAAATCAATGATAAATGTGTGCGTGTTTATATAATACGAATCGAAGAAGGAATAAATATATATATATAATAAAATTTTTCACCAATATCAAATTTTTTAATGTTGCAATTCGCAATGTTTTTCATTTTCACGTCATTATTTGATTTTTAAAAATATTTAAAATTTCAACTCTCGCATCTGCCAGTACACATTCGTATTATTATTTCATCCATATTTATTAATTTTATATTTAAATATTTTTATATTAAATTGATCTCCTTATTTTATAGCTAGATATCTTCCATAATCTTAGCAAATTAATAAAAAAGATGTTATCGAAACTTGTCCTAGTTAGAAGAAATTATAAGAAATTACATGTCTTTTGTTTGTTATCATTAAAATCAATATTTGTACGACTTTCTCACTTTTACTGATTTTTTAAACGTTCATTGAAAACAAGCAAATGTGACGCTCTAAATTGCAGAGGATTCACACATGCAAACGATTCGTTTACTTCTGCAATTGAAAGTCTTCTTCTCTTTCTCTCCACCGTCGTTTATAGATACGACTTCATTAGAAGATTAAACAAGACGAACAGCAGGCATCCACGGCCTGGATTTGTAAATGCGAACCTCTCCTCTGCATCCGGGAAACTTTTCTCGTTATTCGGTATAATACAATAAAGTCTCGCACACCGGTAAATGAAATATGTTGTATAAACTTAAATAACTCGTCCGCGAATACCATGACAGAAAAAAATTCATTACGGTGGTGTCATGATTCAAGTTTGTAGCAAAATATCAATTCACGATTGTCTGCATGCGCGTTTTATGAAGCCTTTTAATAAATTTTTAGATAATGATCATTTTATTATATTTATATATTCAGATTTTTTTTATATTTTTCTTTTCTATCTCTATCTCCTTTTTTTATTTGAATTTATAGTAATTTCAAGTTTATTTAATTACTTAGATAAAAATAAGAAAGAGAAGACTCTCTCATTTACAAAATAATTTCTACATCAAAACATTATATTTTAATTATCTAAAATTAATATTTCGTCAATATTTTATTTGTTATAATGGACATTAATATTTTTATCACTTTCTAACTTTTGCCGATTGTTCAAACGTTTATTGAAAATAAACAAACACTCTTGTGACATTTTAAGTTGCAGAGAGATCACACATGCAAACATATATATATATATATATATATATATATATATATATATATATTTATTTATTTATTTATTTCTGCAATTAATAAAAAGTCATCAAAATAGATAACTAATTATGGACAAATATTTTTTAAACACGTTTATCTTATAATCAAATAATTTATTTAGCTGAATCAAAAGAATACGGTAATTTATTACAAACGATAAATGCATGATTAAAAGTACAAGATTGTTAAAATAGCCTTCAATTTTTAGCCTCACAATCTGTAAATTTATTAAAAAACATTTTATTAGTTTATTCACTATACATCATGAAAAACAAAATGTTATTAATTAAATTTATATAACAGGTAGAAAATGAGAATTGTTATCGACTTCTTTCAAATATATTAGAATTTCATCTTGTTTGAATTAGGTCATTGAAATTACTGTACTGCATATGACATGTGAAGTGCTGCATATGTTATGCTCGTGATATTAATATAAAATTTATTCGTAAAATCATCTCTTCACAATCGGATTCTAATAAATTGCGCACATCTGATTTCATATTTACGCAGCGATGCATAAGAATTGTTTCACACATTTCAAATATTCCATCGAAATGTGCGGCAGAAATATTGAGCGTGGCTTTGAAATCGCGTGCAAATAAAACAAATGAGAGCAATATTGAGAGAAATACAAAATAACCACGCGACAATTTGCTATAATTCATTCATTTTAATAACGAAGTAGATAGTACCGATCGTCGCGGTTTATGTTGATTGAATATAGAAACGCAAAATTGATATTTGCGGGGACACACATATGTCAATTTAATATTAATATTTTGAGTGCAAGTCTGTTTAATTTAAATATTTAAGTATTAATTTAAATATTATAATTATTAAGTATAATTTAAATATTATAACTATTTTATTGTTATTAAAATTTTTCACACAACTGTTATCGTCGTCTTTGAATTAACAGTTTTAATGGTTTGATATAATTGCTATCAACACTGTGTCTGTATGTAATTCTTTTTACATATTTGAAATATGAAAAAATCTTTTTTATTTTATTACACGTTTATCTTATAATTAAATAACTTATTTAGCTGAATCAAAAGAATATACGGCAATTTATTACAAACGATAAATGTATGATTAAAGGTACAAAATTGTTAAAATAGTCCCCTCTATTTCAATTAATTCCCTCTAAAATGGAAATTTATTTTCCAAAACTTAGGTTGTTCCGTTAAATATATATCTTTGATTAACGAAATAAAATAAAGCAAATATGATTTTATTTCGTAAGTTTATTCGCGCAAATATCATTTAATTACAATGCACACAATTTTGAGATATTTGCAATAATTAAAAAATAATTTCGAGCAAAAAAATAGCTGTTTATAGTATAATGGTAAATAAAAAATTAAACTTTTAGCGATATTAAAAGTATAAAGATATTGTGTTCTTTTTATCTCTTTATGTAAATGGTCATTAATATGAAATCTAAAACTTTATAAAAGTTATATAAATAATTCAAATATGAAAAATATATAAGATTTATACATGTCATAATTAAAAACTTTAATAATTAGACGTTTGAGGCAGTGCGTCAAACACTTACACTGACTACACTAAAGTTTACACTAACTACACTAAAGTTTACTTCCTTATAACAATATCGTTCAAGAAACTTAACCATAACTGCTAAACTAAGTAAATGTTGATTTCAAGTATCGATAAACAGCTTTCAGTAAACAATCAACATGGAGAGACGACAAACAATATTTGTAGAAAACTGCATTCTTATTCATTCATTCTTAATAACAATAAATTTTACTTAATTCTAAAACAATATATTTTTACTATTGTGTAACAAATAATTTTATTTGGAAGCACTCACCTAGTAAAGACAAGGCACAGTAACGTAGCACTAAGGATCATCAGCTGTTGACTTAACGCTGATTGGGACTTCTGCATCGCCCTATGTAGATCGTTCTGAAATGTCAACGATTACATCGATTACAAATCAAAAAATAATATTAAAAAAACCATGCTTTTTCGCTCTCAAGAGGAATAAAGAACATTTAAAATTCAAAGAAAACATATTAATAGAAAAAATAAAATTAAAAATTCGCAAAAGCTGACTCAAAAAATTATTGAGACATTAAAAAATATTAATACTTTGATATAAACCGAATTATGTTACATTAATTTGAAAAATAAATCTTTTAAACATTTCTTTTTGAAAGTAAAAAATTATCCTTTTTAATATTGTTCTTTAAATTTAACATAAATTACAGTACAATATAAGTATGTGAGCTACTTACGAACATATTTTCCAGAGAGTGTTTCGCCAACCAGCAGTTTAGGAACACCGGAATAAACAAATTTCTCATTGGTGGATATAATAACTGCGAACATAACATATCAATATTTTTAATAAGTATCTTTATCATTTTTCTCTATTGTAAATTGTGATTAACATATTTAATATCTTTTTAATATCATGCATCCTATAAACTTGTAGCGAAAGCAATTATCTCTGTTTAATCGTGTTCCAATTTCTCAAAATGTTATCATTATAAATAACGTCAGTATTATAAATTACATTAAAATAGCATTTTAAATTAATTATTTTAATTTTAATTACTTTAATTTTAATTATTTTAATTTTAATTTAATATCTTTATAAATTAATTATTTATAAATAAATAACACTGATATTTGCATATTATGTTTATGAAATGTTTAATTTTCTTGGATCTCTTGGGGTAATATATATATATATATTATAAGTCAATATATATATATATATATATATATATATATATATAGACTTATTAATTGAACATACGTTCGCTTGTCGTAATTTGCAAGCTGCACGGTCTATTCATTTGTAAATATTTACGATGTAAATACGCGGCTATCTAATTTAAGCTTGAATTTGCTCATTGTGCTTGCTTTCTAACATCAAAGGCTTACGATAACGTATACATTTTCCTATAAAATTTTTGTGAATGTTTAATTATGTATATTATTTTTATAAAAACTCGCTATTTATTTAAATGTAATTTAATATAATTTACTTTATAATTTAAAAATAATTCACATATATAATGCATAATAATTCACATATATAATGCATAATATAGGACCAGATATCCAATCCAGATTCTTAAAAAATTCAGTTTTTCATATTTTCTATTTTAGAAGATTTAAAAGTTTAAAAAACATCAAAAATAGAATTCGAGAAATTACAAAATAAATTCTTGCTTATGCATAATTGATATTTTCTAAAAATAATTTCTTTAATTTTTGATAAATCTATATGTTGAATTAGAAAAAAAATATTGTAAAAATCATTTCTAATCATTAATATTGCATGATCTTTATTCTTTTTATAGATATTATTATATAATTCTAAGATTACTTTTTTTAGTTTTATATAAATATATTTTCCACATTTTTATCATATCGAAGACAAACAAAAATTAAGTATCGACTTATATAATCAGTTTACATATAAATGGTGCCGCGTAATCCAAAATTAATGAGATTAAGCTAATTTAATTCTAAAGCGCAATAACGAATGCACGTAACGTCATTACGTACTGTCCACTGTGAGATAAAGGTTATTCCCTATGGGACATGCAAAAATCGATACATCATAACCCTACACAATTTGTCGCGAATAAAGTTTGTGCATGTTTTTATATGCAAATATTTTATTTTATATATATATATATATATATATATATATATATATATATATACACTGTTTTCAAACCTTTTTTTTATATCCTTTATATCCTTTATTCCTTAATTACCGATCATATTAACTGGTTAATTAGATGTACAATAGACGCCAATAATGCCTTAACATATGAAATTGGTCAGATTCGGGATTAATAATAACTAGTTATTATTAAGTCTCTTATTATTAAGTCTCTTATTATTAGTCTCGAATGTGACTAATTTCATATGTTAAGGCATTATTGGTGTCTACTGTACTGATAATAATTATAAAATTATTTTTTATTAATAAACAGATAATACATGCTAAAATGAATATATTAGAAATTGAAAATTACAAAGAAATTTTTAATAATATACAGAATGTTATTTTATATACTTTTTTAAATTATAATAAATTATATGTAAAATTTTCTACAAATCAGCGACTTGACAATTTTTTATATATATGTATATTTGATATAAAGATAATAAAAGCTTGCTAAATTTTGATATTATTAGCAAATATTGTGTATTTTATGTAGAATAAAAATAAATTCTAAAAATAAAATTAAAAGCACAAGTGTAATGTTTTTAAGGACTTACCGTGATTGTGAATGGGATTGTGTTGACCAATTCCAGGATGAAGTGGAAGGATAGAAGCTGCTGCCAGACATTTCCCTGTGAACATTACGAGGACAGCTCAACATACCCAGCGACAATTTTATCAAAGTAGAAACTGCGAATAACGTTCCAAAAGTAAACGTGCGCTTCGCCGTTCTGCATTTTCTAATCTCATAAAAATGTTATGAAAGCAAACCAACCTTAATAACTTCAACAGATTCTCATAATTTATTTTTGAATTGCTGTTTATTTTTTTATATTATCATGAACCATTTTGCGTGATTAACAACAAGTTTAAAAAAAACGCACATATACACACACATGTATATACATCTACGTCTAGCACACTAGTGATTAACAATTCATCCATAATATTTCAAAAACTGGATTGTGCTTTATATACACATTAATTATTATTAATAATTATTATTAATAATTAAATACAGAATTTAATTAATTATTATTATTTCTTTGGAAAACTTATATAAATATATTTGATATCTCTATTTAATCGTTCAAACGGCGGAAAATTGCTTATAATACAGCATGACCAAATATAAAAACGTAAATAGACGCAACATTAAAAGAATTAATTGGAAATCATATATTACAGATTGCTTCATAAAAAATATCATTTATCGCATCAGCGTCAGTGCTAATTAACTTAAGGAGAATACGAGCGTAATCAAATCAGGAACTTCATCTCATCTCGTCGAACTCGCCGGGACTGTTGACTTAATATTATACTTTCTCCTGTGCACTTTGTCGAGAACGTGATGTGCATATTACATTTTTGCATAAACCGCGACCTTTTATCGTATTACATGTCATACTTTGACGTTAACGACTGACTTTTTATCCGGATAAAAGTTTCGCATTCATAGAAAGTAAGTTCTTAATTAGAACAGAAAGTATCATCTCAGTACATCTTTTATTTATATTTATAATGAAATCATCTTATAAGGAAAAAACGAATCTCGTTGTATCGCTAACCAAACATGTTATTTATCAAAAGATTGTTGTTTTAGAATTTTTTATATAATTTATTATAATAGGAATATATTGTAACTGTATTTTATTTTATTTTCTTCATTATTTCATTATTTCATTCTTCATTTTTATATAAAAGAATTAGAAAAGAAAAGTAGAAAAGCTTTAAATTTTAGTTTTATCTTATTCTCCACCATAAAGGTTAAATTTAATAAAAATTAAATAAAAGTAACAAATTTATAAAATTAATATTTTAAATAATTTTAAATAATTTTACTTTAATAAAATTTTTTAAAATTTAGTAGTTAAATAATTTAATAGTTAAATAGATCTTTAAAAAATGATAATAGATTTGAAAAAAATAGAATTTAAGATTTATGTATTGAAAAAATAAAGAAAAATGTCATACAAGTAAATTTTGTTAAAGAAAATTGATCTTTATACATAAATTAATAAAATTAATAATGGAAAGAAAATACGAGATACATATGCAACGATAGATATATCAGAAAAGTAAATTGGAATTTTAGTATAAGTACGTTTAAAGAATAAATTGGACGTAATACATTGAATTTGTCACGTTAATATCTTGTTAAATTAGATTTTTGATACAAATTTTACAAAATTTTGATTAAGAAATATTTATCGCGATAAATTTTCTCATTAAAATTACGATCACAATATTCTTTTATATATTGTCTTGTGTAAAACAATCTAAATTTATACTAATATATATGTATACATGTATAATATAAGAAATGCATCCAGTGCATACTGTTAAACAATATTCATTTATGCAAACGTTCTAAATAATAGCGCGTCTTGAAATACTTTCTAATTACCATCTTGTTTTATCACGGAATATTCAACAGCAATCAGCATTGCGTATACCATACTGCAACTTCACGATAGAGACTGAACATGTTAAGTTTATTCCTATCAGCCTTTTAAATAGCAAAACGTATCACATAATAAATGGATTAGTTTCGCGACATACATATGCTACTCCACTTTTTCTCTTTATCTAAAAAAAATTATCTTAAAAAAATTGCTTTCATGTTATGTATATTTTCCGTGCAAATTAAATTATTAATCCTTTCACTTATCATCAGATTTTTTTATAGGGAAAGCGTAATTGCACATATGTTGTAGTTCTAATTAAATTATTTATTTCACTCTGACGCAATTTCGATTATTCTTATAAATTATCAAACTTAAGAATATTAATATTTGAGATATAAATCTTATATTTTATTGCATAAATCTGATTAAAGATATAATTTGCGAATTATTGTTACAATTACAATATGTTGTTATAAAAATAATTAATTAATAAAAACCGAATTTTCTCTTATATTATCTTTTATGAAAAGTTATTAAATCTTTATATTCTACGCATATTAAAATATATTACACGCATTGTAAATAACTTTTTTCGATAATCTACTTTTAAGTATAACGTTTCAAATTTTTACGGATTTCTCGATAGGATTATAGGATGCAGTGTAAAATTCTCTGTAGGATCAATATAAAATTCTTTGACTTTCGTTTTTCATAAACAAAATTAAATTACGTTTGAGTTGCTGGAAGCGGAACGATTAATTTATAAAAGCCGCAAGGGATGCAGTCCATCTGATGCAATCCAATGACGCTGTGCAAAGTATTCTAAACGATCATCGATCTTATCCCCTCTTCTTCGACCTCTTTTTTTCGATAAAAATTTATAACTAAAAATTTCCGCGCGAAGTACATGACGTCTTTATTGGATTATCTTAGTCTCGCGCTTTTTTCGCTATAAATCCTTCATTTTGGCTTTACAGCGAGTTGAAATTCTTTTGAAAAGATATGTTTGATTAGTATATGTGTACAGATGCATGAGCTTCCCAAGTGATTTCAACGGCACCGTGTAAACGATTACGACAGGATCATAGAATTTGCTGATGTATTCTGACAAGGTATTCCTTTGAGTCCATGAATAGGTAAATTATCATTCATATGTGGTTCTCATATATATCTGCTTTCCTCGACATATTTGTTTTAAATTTTTTAACGGGTATTTAAATTTTATCCAATAAATTTTTAAGTAATAAATTCGGATAATCTAATTACACGTCGTTATCGTCATTTAATTAATAATAGAAAAACTACATACTTTGTATATTCCTGTTAATAATCATGATAATATATACATGAAGTACTTATTTTGAGACAGATATGAGGGATTAATGAATGTAATTTTCCTCTATAAAAGTTACAAATAAAAAATTTAAGTAAATAATTAAGAAGAGAATTTAAGTAAATAATTAAGAAGAGAATTTTTCGTAATAAAAAACCGCGTAAACTTTGTTCACTCCATTTACACATTAAATATGTATAAGTGTATGTTACACTGAAAGTTCACGAAAGCAATTTTTTTATATCTAAGAAAATTGCTTTATTGTAATCTGCTTTGTGTAATTTGTTTTCTATATTGACTTCAAGATGCATCAATTTGCGAGCGCAATCACCATCCCTATGCTGCAAACAAAGCCTTTGAGACAGAAGCGCGAGCAGGGAATTTCAGGAAAAGCATAAATCTTGTGCTATCCGCACCTACTGACGCTTTTCTTTTGACACGTTGATCTTTAATATTACACGGACTACTAGATTTTTACACACGACGCAACATGGAATAATTCTGTACTTTTTAATATCACTAAAAATACAGAAAGATGATATGTAAAAAGATTTAAAAAATGTAAAATTGAAATGAAGTTCTAAATTGCTTTAATTAAGGAATATTCGCTTAATTAAAATCTGCTTAATACATTTCCGATTATATTTATATTAATATTAACATAAAATTTATATTTGTATATTTAAAGTTAGAAAACCTCTATACTTTTTCTTCTCGAAAAAAATTTTAATCCACGATAATTTCGACTCTAATTTTATTGTTACTCAAATATAATTTATTTATAATATTATTTCATTATTATTAATTTTCTATTAATGATTAATGATTAAAATAATACGTGCATTTATCTATTTTATATTAATATTATTTAAGATATTATTTAAATTTGATCTTTTGGTATTATTTAGATATTATCTTTTGGTTCTATTAGTCATTGCAAATAAATATCTTGAATTTTCCGCGTTGTTCTTTTCTATCTATTTTCCTCTTATCATCTTCTTATGAAAGAAAATCATTAGTCCCGGAAAGAAACATTGGCAATGCAATGACTGCGCTGGAATGAGAATTTGTGCTAGAATTAGGAACGTAAAAATGCATCGAGATGCTTTTCTCAATAAAAAGTCTCCGCGGGAAGATCGCACCTTTTTTTATATTCATCGTATCAAACGCAAATGTAGCTTATAGCTCTGCAGAGACTCTGCATTCAGATGATAACTGAATTAAGCCTTTCGAGAATTCTGTGACAATTAATATTCGTTTTTGAAATTTATAAACTAACGAATATCTAACGATGGATGCAATTTAAGATAATTTCATCGCCAACGAAAAGAGAGCGGATTTAATGTCTGTTTGTTTTCATTTTTAGCTTAAAAACTAGAGTTTCTATAACTAGCACATGAGATAAAAGTGTTTCTCATAATGCAATTTTCAATAAGCTTTTTAATAAAAACGATGCAATCAAAAATGTCACAAAAAATTAACTTCTTAAATTAGCATGATTAAAAATATCTGTTCAATTTTAATAAAATTATTTAGTTGCCATTTAAAAAAAAGATTTTATTAATATTATATAATTTTTAAGATATGATCAATGATGAACGAATCTCTTTTCTTCTATTTCTTCCACGTGCGAGGAATTTAAGAATTTACATCGTCGCGCATTAAACTTGGAGATTGGTTGTGAAATGGACTTTTAAAATCTGCTTTTAGCGAAATGAATTCACAGGAGAGTGAATTCACGCAATACTTAACTTTAATTGTCTAATTTGCCGTGGAACCTAAGATAATCCAGGGCAGTCATGCAGTTAACGACGTCTTTTTAGAATCCATTTGCGACGCTTTCGTTTTCTTCCGGAATCCGGTAAAAGAAGACTCTAAAACTTTGCAAATCGAGAATGACGGAAGGGAATGGCGGAAGGAAACGAGCGTGAAGAACGGAAAAGGGGAACCTCGATCTGCATATCTCGAGCGTTCTGCGATCCGGAGTTGTGAACCGGATTATAACCCGATTCCCTTGCGGCAAAGGACAATGGGCCCGCGATTACGCGTGACATGACTCGATGCATTCGCATCACTGATGTTGCGTCCGCATATATGACCCTGCTAATTCCCGGATCTCCCGAAGGAGTTTCGACATCGAGTCCCTCCACAACTCGCGGCTAAATTCATAAACAAGGGAGTCTGATGCGATTTTGCGTGAAGCGCTCTGTTGCCGTCAACCTAAGCTACTTTCCCCAACCGCAACATCAGCAACTGCATCCATATGCATATAAGACACCAAGAAACGTCAGAATTTATATAATATAGAATACTAATATTTATACAATCTTAATTTACTTTCTCGCGCAGAGAGAGAGAGACATCGATAGTGTGATTGTCTGATATTTTGCGAGTGTTTTTTTTTATTATTATTAATAATATTTTAAAATTTTAAATTATAAATAATATATTGATGATATCCCTATTTATGTATATTATATTTTATATTAAATAATAATTAATCAAATTTGTAAAAATATCAATAACTGATAAGTAATATTTACGAATACCATGCGGAGATTTCAACAATCGTTGCGTCGAAGACTTTGATGATTGGAACATTTCGAAATCTACAAAAACGTAAATTAAACCTAGTGCTTTAAATTTATTAGGCATTTATTATACAATTCTTAGTTTGCTTAGTTTGCTTAGAAACATGTATTATCTTTCACATTTTCTTTTTATTGATTTTAGATTCATGCATATTTAAGTTTCATGGCAACCAAAGTATATTATAAAGTTTAGTAACGGCATATTTTCTATTAATATGCTTGTATGCTATTGATTAGCGACTTATCATCGCATTTTGATTAATATATAGCGTGACGAAGTTGCCACAGATCGTTATAGATTATATCACGAATTTTACACGCACGCGCGTATGGAAATTATCGTTGGATAAAACATTTTTCTATATTTTAAAAGTTATTAGTTTACGGTTATATAAAAAATTATTTCAAAATTTTATTTAGAATCTTATAATAATATATGTATAAGAATATATACATATATAAAATTTATATCTCACATATAATCTCAATATATGTATTAGAATAATGAAAATTTTATATTGATAATAACGCGTCTTTTTAAAATTTCTATCAAATTCACATAGAGTGATTAAACACTTATATAATATGCATTCTAAATATATTAACATTTTACTTCAACATGATTTGATTTTATAATTTTTCTACACGAATTTTTTTCTAGATTACTTTTCCAATCGAAATAAAGCAGAAAAACATTATTTGAATTTCGAATAAACATAAAAGCATTTTTCAAACCTTATTAAATCAGTTTTTATTTTGTTTTTTGTCTTTACATCGCAGCTTTTTTGTCAAGAAATTTTCAAGTTTAAAAGAAAGAAAATTCGAAAAGCAATTCGAAAAGTTTAGGCAAGAACGTTTCTCGATTAATTTTTTTAAACTTTTGACGATTCTCTGATTAATTTTTTAAACTTTTAAACTCAAATATGGGACTTTGTATGACACATAAATTGAGATAAATTAATACAGTTTTCTTTTCGAACAAGTAGATCACGAAAGTAAATAATACTCGTGAGATATTGCACGTTGGATTCACAATACGACGTATTCAATCGATTTAAAATATCGATTTATAAAACTTATAGAAATTAGTTTTGAACAAAGTAAGTCATACATTCGATATTCAATACTTTTATGAAGATAAAAAATGTATTTCTTGTATATTTTTTAAAATTATTTTAAAGAATGCAGAACGACGAAGTATAGCGAATTTAATTAAGCGCATATCGTATTTATTCATGCAAAATCATGCATATATGTGTAACTGATATGAAAAAAAAAAAAATATATATATATATATATATATATATCATATAAAAATGACGAAATACTTATTGATTAAAAAAAATATATATTTTACTCATTTTATTAAATTAAAACTGCGTTAAAACTATTTAAGATTAATTTAGATATAGATAGATAAAGAGCTTTATGGTTTTATAAAAGGCGTCGTCATTTAATTTAATAGAAAACAATTACTTTAATTTAATGAAACACAAATTTAACAAAACATCAATTTCAAACTTTTGATATATGAAACTTTATCTCTCTCTCTCTCCATACAATTTAATATATTTATCTATATTTATTATTTATTTAATTATTTATTTAATATTATTATTTAATATATTATTTATTTAATATATTGATCTATTTAATAATTTATTTAATATATTTATCTATATTTTAACATAACATCTAATTAAATGGATAAAAAAATTGAGAGAGGAAATAGTATAACCATAAAACTCCTCGCGAAGCAAGGCAATAAAATAACGAGCGTGTCCAGATAACAATTATAACAGTAAAATGTCGAATAAGAAAAATGAAAATTACTTTTGAAATAAAAGTGATAAATAACGTACCTTGTAACCGAGGTAAGCGAGTAACAAGGCCTCAGTTAACGACACCATCGCCAAGATCACTTGAACTACCCACAGCTCCAAGGGTCTTCTGACCCAGACAATCGCATCCCAGTTGATGGTCGGGTGATCCTGAAACTCCTCCTCCGTCAAGTTTTGCGACACGAGAAACTCGCTCTTGTTGCCTGGCATACAATCGTAACTGGAAGGAGAAAAAGAGAAGAATTATAAGTGACGGATGAGATATGCCGATAGAGAGGGACACAGATTGTCGCGCGATATTTGCGTGAACGAGCCGAACGAGTTCGATAGGTTTTCGATATCAAGTGTGTCGCTTGGATTGCATCGGGGATTCAAATATCACCGTTGTGTGAGAAGAATAGGAAGGACGCCGATACCGAATGCGGTGAAAAAAGGTATATATACAAGCGAATCAGAACATACGTCTTCTATTGAAATTTTTGCATCAATGTGAGACTTGTATATGCGAGGGAGTTTCACTAAGATCGCCGTTCCCGTCAGTGACAGTTTCCCTCGGAGTGTTCGGAATCAATAGCCCCTTAACGGAAATTTGATCGGAAGCTTAATCATGAAGTTACTCTCAAGTATTAAGAGATTTTGGTAAATTTACATTAAAGGATATCAACCAAGGTCGATGGGAGTTCTTTTACAAAATTTTAAACAACAAACAATTTAGAATTGATAGACATCTGATGATAAAAATTACAACCTTGCAATAAATTATTTCTTATATCAAATTTTTGAAAGAAATTTCTCTCTCTTAACAAGATTTTCTTAATATTTTTTTTATATTCTCTTAAAAAGAAAATCTTATGATTTATATAATCTATAATTTATATAATCATATAATTTTTTTAATCAATTTATTAATATTACATAAGTAATATATTAGAATTCGTAGAAAATAAACTTGCAGAATAAATGACACTTACTTTTTATAAATTCTAAAAATTACTTGTAAATTATAAAAATTATATAATATTAATATTTTTTCTTAAGAAAATGTAAAAGCATGTCAGAAAAATATTCTAGGAGAGAATACCGCTTTTATAAACATAAACAACAATCACGTCGCTATGTCATATTCGTTATACAGTCTTATCTGCATCTTATCCTCAGCCATGTTAGAAGCACAGTATGATATGCATATCGTACATGAATGTAATGTTGCTCTCATGTTGGAACGAGTTTTTCTTTGCGGAGATAAAATTTTTCCGAATAACCGTCGACGATAAAACGAAAAGAAACTAAATGAAGCAATTTCTGTATTTTCAACATCAGTGGTCGTTCCTGTTAAAATAAAAAATATATCCCAAGTTGTCTATATTTTGTTATTTTAGAATTGTTTATTCTTTTCATCAATATAAATATATTCTTTCAATAAAAATGAAAAATTAATTGCTATTAAATTATTGCATAAAAACAACACTTTTTTAGATATATATTGAGAAAAAATTCTATAGTTGAAATAAAATACAGTAAAGCTAGGATATTCTATATATTCATACAAAACTGTAAACTTTCTTTCGCATAAGACAAGTAAAGCGAAAAAAATGCAAAACTTTATTAAATATTATAAATATTAAAAATATCTCTTAAATTTTAAAGATAATAAAACAACGATCTTTAAGCATTTCAGAAAGTCAAATGCGATATCTGCTTTTCCACTTGAAGGATTGTTACTGCAATTGAAAGTGATGTGAAACTCACTGACTCTCTCGTGGACATTTGAAAGAATTCACTTGGGTATTGAATGTTACTTACCATGCTGCGAATGTTGGGTCGGTGTCGGTAACAACCCTGAATATGTACAGGAAGCATGTTAGTAATTTGAAGAAGAGATTAGCAAGTCGTATCCTCAAGCCTGAAACATAAATTTTATTTTCCTATCGTTATTTTTGACGTTTTTATTTAATTTATATTTTTGTATTTGCCATAACTTTCTATTTATTTTTTTTTCTAAAAAAAATCTCTACACAAAGATTCTTGCTTTTATTTTCTATGTTACATGTATCAAGAAGCAATAAAATAAAGAAAACAATAAAAATAAAGTAAACTCTAATTCACATTAAATTTAAGTGGGCTTTTAAAACATACGAAGCACTTTATTTTATATTACCTTATCAATCAATAAGTTTTTTATTTATATATCTTATCGATATGTTGGGAATTTTCTTTTTCCCCTTACACATAAATATTTTTAAAATATTATTAAAATATACATCGAGATTCTCAAAATTTTCTTTATTCTCAAAGTTAAATTACATTTAATTCTCGATTTTCAATATAAAAAATGCCTAATTAAAAACTATTTATACTTTGTAAATGTATTTATTTACAAATTCAAAATTTTATTTAAAAACTCAAAGTTTCAAATTTATTTTAGTTTAATGTAAATAAAGAGTAAAATATATTGTATAAAGTTATACAATTTTTATTTTTATTTGAAAATAATATAAATTTCATTGTAAATTTAATATTAAATATAGTTTGAAGTAATAAAATGTAAAATAATATAAAAAAATATGTATATAAAATTTATCAATTTACTATTAAAAGCCTAAAAGTTACGTAATACGCTAAAGATTCACACACACTGAGAGTCAGATTGAAGGCCAGCTTAGACTAGATATCGATCCAGATAGTTTTAACGAGATGCTTTAACCAGTTGTCCGCAACAAACTCCACAAAGAGCAACAAAGCATTGACCTGTTGGGTTCACGACGCGACGTCCTAATGCACAGGTCAGGTACAAAGGTCAGGCAAGAGGAATTCGTGGTGGCACAATATCTATTATCGACTACCACCATCAATCCTGAAAGAGCACGATTGTGCTCTTTCAGGATATATACGAAGATGATGGCTGCGATATCCTTGCAATTGCCTTTCGCAACGGCTTGGCCATTTCGAAAGGAAGCAATCGTAATCGCTTTGCGATACGCCGAAAGAACGTCGACGACAATCCGGCTATTTCCGGCGGCGACAAATTTAACAAAAAGATAGCATTAGAAAGGAAGGTATGATTTAAGCTTGGGATATATTTCTAGGGATGTAATATTTATTTCTAAAATATTCTCTTCCCATCTCGATATATCTTTCTCTTTCTCTCTATTATATTAATTATATTTTGCTTTTAAAATTCAGCACTAACCGTATTCTAAAATTTAATAATAAATGAATAATATTTTAAAAAGTATACATAATATATCATATAATGTTTGATATAAGTTATTTTCAATTAGAAAGAGAAGTGAAAAATTTATAAAAGCAGTAAATAATATATAATCGAAACATAACATATTTTAATCAATATATCTCGCATGTTACGATATAATGCGGAAAATAATGCTGCTATTAAGCAGCATGAGATAGAATCGTAGATATGAGTCTTTTATACCGATAAAATATGTGATTAAATACATTAATACGTAATATATTTCATAGAACACAAAGAATTTTTTGTTATATTAATTTTTAAACTAAAATATTGCGAACGATTTATTAATTTTTTTAGCGCAATTAATATTTTCTATTTCAATCTTTACGCATTAAAATAAAGATTCTAGGAATTACATATAAATAAATATTTATTATAGCTTTCTTATAAAAATTTCTCGCTATATTTAGAATCTATAAAATTATAAATTTATTATAAACACACATGAATGATGAATGTTTACTTACTCGAACGTTGATTCTTGATGAAATACAGCTGCAGCCGTTCCTTGAATGTGTTTTCGTTCACATAATATTCGACGCGAACTCTGAAAACAGACATATGACGACATTATTGCCAACAGATTTCGCAAACTTTGTAGATGTTAATTATAATGTCATCCAATTTTACGCAATTATTATATTAAATAATTTCAGTAAACTCCATATATCCGTTGCATATACAACTATCCACGCATTATGGATAGTTTTTATTTATTGACAAACTTTATAATAATATTCTATAGCAATCTTACGTATGCATATCTGCATCGACATTTGCGTTTATAAATATAAATATAATGTGTAATCAGAAGGGAATACGCATATCTATGTCTATGGAGACTCGTCGACCGGAACTATTTAGAGATCAAAGGAACGACAAGGAGAATGTCGCTGTATTATTAAGCTGGCATAATTAATTGAACAGTGCAATAGTGCGACATGCACGTATGCTATTTAAATTATCATTATTACTATCTGTTATCTAACTATATTATATCCCATGAGTCATTCCCTTCCATTATTATAAAATAACATTTGTATAAGACTCGTTACAGAAACTGTGACACATGTTGATTATAGTGTAAATTATGTGACAGCTCTATGTCGTTTGAAAAAATTTATTAATGTCGCTTATTATATCTGTCGAATATTATAAAAAAGAGAAATTTATTTCACGTATTTTATATGCCGCCGCATAAAGTTTTAAATTGGATGCAACGATTAATAATTTGCATAATAACATAATTTTCCCTCCTGAATTATATAATATATAAATTAATTGAGAGTGTATATCATTTATATAATTATATATATATTTGTTTCATAATTCAAATATGTCAGTTCATCTCACTTGTATTCTTTTCAATTGCTAATTATCAATTTGCTAATACTCCCTCTCGCATTCGTCCGATTTGGACTGCAGGTTGAACGAAACCGCAAGCGTGCAATGATCCATGTTGTTATTGTCGCTACTGCAGCAAAGTGAATAGGCCGATCTCATTAGTAATTTTGCCTGCTCGGTCGTGCACCGCCGCAGTCCTTATTTTTAGCCGCGGTAAATGCGTCGGCGGTGCCGAGAATAGCGTCGCGTGACGTCACCAGGCCGGCGTCGACAGGCGGTCTGTCGTACGCGATCGTTCCTAGTTGTTGAACTGGTTCTTTGACCCACATAACGTCACGAATGCCTGACCTAGGCTATTCGTCCTCAACGCGGAGAGCCGATGGAATGAAATGATGCCAATCGAGATGAACGAGCCGGCGTTCAACTTTTTGCACGCTTCAAAAGACAAGTGTTGACAGAAATTCGCGGACGCTCGCAAAATTTTTCTCAATGTAGCATGACATCAACTGATAATTAATTAGTGATTTTTTTATGAAATATAGGATGAATGGAATACCGATGATTCCATTTCAACAAAATCAGTAGGAGATTATTTTGTCAAATTATTATAAACTTTTTAATATGTATCATATAATAAAAATATTTAGGAATTCAAAATATATGTTTAATGTATATAAGTTTATTACAATCTTTTAAATATGCAAAATTATTTTATTTATATCCTCTATTCTAAAATATATATACATGATATAAATAAAATTTATGATATAATTGGAAAAGAATTTTAAAAAAATTTCTTGTTTTAACATTTATCCTCCGTATTTTTAATTATATATATACAATAGTATTAATTATTTGTATTTTAATTTTCAATAAATGTGTTTAATGCATATATAATATAACAAAAGTAAATATATCAATAAATAATAAAAAAAAGAAAAAAAAAAGATTTTTTTCTTCTTTTTTGCGCTCCAGTTACCGCGCCTTGGCCCTTATTTGCCAATTTTACCATGCATGTAATAATTGAAATTAATGCTTATAAATTTTTCTGAATGTATCGATAAGTACTAAAAAGTCTGTGAAGCTTAATTAAATTAAATTTAAATAATTTTCAATATTTGATCGACCTAGCTGCAAAATTACAATATTGGTAAATAAAACGACAGGTTTCCCATTTTTAAATTATTAGTGCAAAATTGGCATACGACAAAAAGATTGAAATATCGCATTAAATTATGCACTGTTTCAAAATCATTGAGTTCGTAAACATTTAACGGGAAGTGACACGTCGACGTATTTTAACAGCACGGGAATTTCACAGGAAACATTGCATTGAAAAGCTACGCGATGTTAAACGATTGTCAAGTTTGAAGAATTTGGGAATTTTTTTTTCTCCAAGAGCAGCTGACAATTCTGCGAACGATACAAAGCGAGATATATCAATATCACTCGAGTCTCGCACACGAATATTGTCGCAGTCTCTATATGATACGCGATAATTTAACGCGATCGGCTGTGCAAACGAGAAAGGCACGTTTAGTGAACCATGAATAATGTCACTGACAAAATACGTGGGCCGATGTTCTTGTTTCGAGGACACGCGGACTAAAAGAATACGTTGACATCGCTACGATTGAACCCGTCATGTTTACAGACAAGTTCTGTTTCCTTTCTCTAACATTGTCAAATCTTTAAAGCTAACGAGAAATTTAAATAAAGGTCAAATTAATCTCTCTAAAGAATTGAATATTATTTATGTATATATCCAAGATTTTCATAATAAATATTCGATTAATAATCTCTACAAGATCATTAATTTAGCAATCAAGATATTCAAGAAGAGAAGGGAGGAATAAAAAATCTTTTAAATTGCTCATTTTAATATGTATTTTGATATCAAGCGCTTGTCTGCATTGAAAAAAAAACGTTTGTATTTAACGACAAAATCAAATTTCCATCACAGTGAATGATAGTGATACAAATTCTTCAGGCAACGTGTGAAAGTCCATAAATCAAAATATTTATGATCGTCAATCACTCGTTATTAGGATCGTTTCGCGTCAAGTCGAGAATGGAAACGACGTGTTGCACTATCCGGATGATAATTGACAGCTTCATTACGACGCCGTTTCTAATTACATTGTATGGAGATGTGATGCGATCATTTCCAATTGAAATTGCATTCTGGGATTCGCGAGATGACATTTGCCATCGAGCTTCCCGGAGGATGCACAGTAAAACCGATGCAACTCATCTTATCGAAGCTGGAATTGATTCGTGAAGAGTAAGAGATTAGTCTATTGTAGGTGTTTTCTTGGCGTATCGCAAACTAACTTTGGCTTAAAATTAATTAAAGTTAATTTTTGTAGTAAATTTAAATGAAAAATGTATCTTTATATTGAATTTTTGAAACGCATCAATACATGTCTGGTTCTATAAATCAGAAATTATATCATCAATTACCTCATCAATTATATTAACATATGTGATTGTACATTATTTATAATTACTTGTGATAGATATATCTCATTAAATATACACAATATTTAAAAAATATTCAACGTTATAAAGCAAAGTTTATTTAATCCCAAAGTATAATAACAAAAAAACTCGTTAATATCTGCGATATTAATCATCAGAAAGGAGATTCAAGCTTAATTAAAATAATTACTTTAGAAGCCACAATGTTCAAAATTCTGCCAATGAAATTGGTCAGCGGAGTTTCTCGCCCAAATAATGGACAAAAAAGCAATATTATGTTAATTTTAAGTATACATATAATTTTAAATAAATAGAAAAAATAAAGCATTAATTAAATTTATTTATAAGTTAATGGCTTTTTAAAATAAAGATCAAGAGCGTTTTGCGAACTCAAGATTGAATGGAGAATCACTAAATTCCAAAGACAATAACACGTTATTATCTTTGGAATTTAGTGATTCTCCATTCAATCTTGAGTTCGCAAAACGCTCTTGATCTTTATTTTAAAAAGCCATTAACTTATAAATAAATTTAATAAATGCTTTATTTTTTCTATTTATTTAAAATTATATGTATACTTAAAATTAACATAATATTGCTTTGAATTATAAATTTCTTTCTAAATTCTAATTATTGCGAACCTATTCTAATTATTAAACTCAATTATATCATACATAATTACTTTTAAATTAAAGTAAAGGATACTAATGTATTGAACATCAAACAAATTTCGTATATAACTTATTTATAAATAATCGTTAATATTTTCTATCTGTACATATCCAGTCATATTAGCACGATAAAAATGAATAATTGAGAATAAATGAATAAATGAGCAATTTACTTAAGTTAAATTAAACGTACAATTATCTGCTCATTGAATTGCGGATTAATATGCATATTCCACCATTTCGCACGTGATCAAAGAGAAACGACCAATGTTCTGAATGGAACGGAATATTTTCATTTTAATAAAACAGATGTCTAGATTGAGTTGTCACTAAAAAGTCAATTCGCAGTAATGAATTCCAGAAAATGTCAACTCGTTTCTTATAAACCTTTCGCATTTAACAAAGCAAACTTGCACTTTGTGTAATGGTGGGTATGAATTTATTATTAAGCTCTTAGCGTGAATGACGACGCTATTATCTCTGATTTTAATAATTTAATGACTAAATTTCATTAATTTAATGACAAAAAGAACATTAAATTGTATAAAAAGGATTCAAGATTCAACCGCGTTATATACTAATCATCCTTGAGCTATTATTAGTTTCTATTTTGTATATACCAATAAAGTATTAGAGCATTTAATGTGGAAAAGCCGCAATTGCCGGTTAATTAAACTTTCGATAAGAAGGAAGAGCAAGCACACAAGCAATTCCGGTTTTCCGCTTCTCGAGGTACATTAAATTTATTTGGATATTTTCTAGGATCATTAAAAATTAAAAAAAAAAAAAATAAGAATTTCTTGAACTTATCATATTATATTAGTATACATTTTCAACTAATTTAACATCTATAGATTATGATTACAGTATTATAATTCATATCCAGAATATATTATATTATTTAAAATTAGCATTATTTAGTTTATTATAATGTATTATAAATATAAGATTAATATGTTAAGTACTTCTAAGTTTTTAATTAAAATAATTTTATTTAAAAAATAATGTTTTATTTTTAGACTTTAAAGTTATAATAACATTCTTATAAAAA